TTTGTCTCTTTTCCTGAAACCACAATTTCAGGGTCACAAAGTGAAGTCCATGACATGCGAGTGGGGAGAAGAGCAAACCACAGACTACCTATTACAATACAAACTGAGCCCTGCCACATGCACAATAGAGGACCTTCTCACAACAACACCAAAGGCACTCAAAGTGACCAACTACTAGTCAAAGAACACTTAATCAACTACCAAGTTTGCAAACTTTGTGTTTTGTTTGTTTAGTTTTGTTTTGTTTTTGTTTTTAATGCACTACAGCTGTTTTGGTTGGCTCCTAACACAATAAATAAATACTAAGAGTTGTAGTTTTGCATGGCCTTTAGGCTTCCCTACCAAAATGTTTGTTTTTAATGCACCGCAACTGTTTTGGTTGGCTCCTGGCACGATAAATAAATACTTAGAGTTGTAGTTTTGCATGGCCTTTAGGCTTCCCTACCAAAATGTTTGTTTTTAATGCACCACAACTGTTTTGGTTGGCTCCTGACACGATAAATAAATACTAAGAGTTGTAGTTTTGCATGGCCTTTAGGCTTCCCTACCAAAATGTTTGTTTTTAATGCACCACAACTGTTTTGGTTGGCTCCTGACACGATAAATAAATACTTAGAGTTGTAGTTTTGCATGGCCTTTAGGCTTCCCTACCAAAATGTTTGTTTTTAATGCACCACAACTGTTTTGGTTGGCTCCTGACACGATAAATAAATACTTAGAGTTGTAGTTTTGCATGGCCTTTAGGCTTCCCTACCAAAATGTTTGTTTTTAATGCACCACAACTGTTTTGGTTGGCTCCTGACACGATAAATAAATACTTAGAGTTGTAGTTTTGCATGGCCTTTAGGCTTCCCTACCAAAAAGAAGAAGAAAAAAGATTCCCCACCAAACTACAACTCCCAAAATGCAATTGCAACCCATCCCCATCCCACTCTTTTCCCCTTCCACTTCCTGTAGGAATCCATCTCTTTTGTTTTAACCCTTCTCTGTTTTCCTCCCTTCTCCTCCTTTCCTTTGGAAGGATTACAGAAAGGAAACAACTCAGAAAAAGCAGATAAGAAAACAAAACAAAATAATGATGATGACCACAGGGCTTCCTGTGAAGCAGAGGAGTGATGCCCTGGGATGCTGGCTTCCTTAGCAAAGGAAGGTTTGTCAAGGGGAGGGGGCTCTTTAAAAGGGCAGGAAGAACACAAAGGGTTAATGATGCAAAGGGAGGGAGGGGAGAAAGGAGAGGGAAAGGGGGCGTGGCTTTAGTAAGCTCCTCCCACCGTCTTTATGAAGCTCTCCTGGAGAAAAAGGGGGACCCCCAGCAGAAGGGCTGCAGCCTGGGGAAAAGAGGTAGAAACAAAGTATCCATGGCTGTTTCCTGTCTCTTCCTTCCCAGGGTTGTGAATGAGCCTCCTTCTGGAGGGATCTGCTAGGAAAAGGGGGAGGATGGAGCAATTGGAGGGGAGTAGGAGAAATGGGGAGACCCCTCCTCCCCATCCATGTTGGATGCAAGAAGGCAAAACTGGAGAGAAGGCAAAAAGGGAAAGGAAAGACAGGCCCACCTATTCGGTTAGGGACTTCCAAGTCTTATATTGGCCCTGGGCAAACCTGGGCCCTCCAAGTGTTTGGGACCAACTCCCACCATTCCTAACAGCTTACTGGCTTTTAGGAATGGTGGGAGTTGGAATCCAAAACACCTGAAGGGCCCAAGTTTGCCCATGACTGGGATATAGATGGCAAACTCAACCATCCTCTGCTATGAAACTATTATTAAGCCGTTTCATCTCCTTTTAAACCAAGACTCAAGCGCTATAAGGGATGTAGAGAGAATACATTATTATTGTCATCATCATCATTATCCATTTGTGTTGTTATCCGAAACAGCATAAGGTATTTAGACATAATATAGTGTTCCCTCGCTACTTTGCGGTTCGCTTATTGTGGACTCGCTGTTTCACGGATTAAAAAAATATTAATTTTAAATATTTATCATGGTGTTTTTGCTGTTTTGTGGGGTGTTGCCGCTGCTGCTCTTCAAGGCACTTTCCCTCCTCAGTCCTCCCTTCCTCCAGCCTTGAAGGGCCTTTCCTTCACTTTATTTTAAGTTTATAAAGACTTAAAATAGTGTATAACTACTAAAATAATGTATAAATATTAAAATAAATAGAGTTTCCCTACATTGCAGTTTTGCACCTGGAACCTAACCCTAACAATAAGTCAGGGAACACTGTACTTACTTACTTACTTACTTAGGCAATCCCTCGTAGCTCGAGGATGATGGTCTTCCAGATATGGTATCTTGGTGGTGGGTCCATAGGTAGCTGTGGAGCCCTACTCTTGATCCGCATGTTCTCCCACAGTGAGGACATTGATTTCCAGGTGGAAGGAGGTCCCAATTGGGGTTGGCTTGACGCGCCTTCCTCTGGGCACATTTCTCCCTTTCACCCTCTGTTCCTGCCTCTTTGAATTCTGCACCACTGCTGGTCACAGCTGACCTCCAGTTAGAGCACTCAAGAGCCATGGCCTCCCAGTTCTCGGTGTCCATGCCACAGTTTTTGAGGTTGACTTTAAGCCCATCTTTAAATCTCTTTTCCTATCTACCAACATCCTGTTTTCCGTTCTTGAGTTCAGAATAGAGCAATTGCTTTGGGAGACGGTGGTCGGGCATTTGGACAACATGGCCAGTCTAGTGGTGTTGATGGCGGAGGAGCATCGCTTCAATGCTGGTAGTCTTTGTTTCTTCCAGCACGCTGACATTTGTCTGCCTCTCTTCCCAAGGGATTGGCAGGATTTTTTCAGAGGCAGCACTGATCGTTCCAGGAGTTGAGTGTGATGTCTGTAGATAGTCCATGTTTCGCAGGCATATAACAGGGTTGGGAGGATATTTCGGAGGCAAAGCTGATGGAATCATTCCAGGAGTTGTGTGTGACGTCTGTAGACACATAAATATTATTATTACCCTACTTTTATCTCCCGAAACAAAGCACCAAGTGATATAAGGGATGTAGACAGCATGCCTTGTTGTTGTTGTTGTTGTATGACTTTTTCCTCTGGAAACCAAGAACTAAGTGGTATAAAGGATGTAGACAGCATGCATTGTTGTTATTGTTGTTGTTGTACGACTTTTTCCTCTGGAAGCCAAGAACTAAGTGGTATAAAGGATGTAGATAGCATGCATTGTTGTTATTGTTGTTGTTGTAGGACTTTTTCCTCTGGAAACCAAGAGCTAAGTGGTATAAAGGATGTAGACAGAGTGCGTTGTTGTTGTTGTAGGACTTTTTCCTCTGGAAACCAAGAGCTAAGTGGTATAAAGGATGTAGACAGAGTGCGTTGTTGTTGTTGTAGGACTTTTTCCTCTGGAAACCAAGAGCTAAGTGGTATAAAGGATGTAGACAGAGTGCGTTGTTGTTGTTGTAGGACTTTTTCCTCTGGAAACCAAGAGCTAAGTGGTATAAAGGATGTAGACAGAGTGCGTTGTTGTTGTTGTAGGACTTTTTCCTCTGGAAACCAAGAGCTAAGTGGTATAAAGGATGTAGACAGAGTGCGTTGTTGTTGTTGTAGGACTTTTTCCTCTGGAAACCAAGAGCTAAGTGGTATAAAGGATGTAGACAGAGTGCGTTGTTGTTGTTGTAGGACTTTTTCCTCTGGAAACCAAGAGCTAAGTGGTATAAAGGATGTAGACAGAGTGCGTTGTTGTTGTTGTAGGACTTTTTCCTCTGGAAACCAAGAGCTAAGTGGTATAAAGGATGTAGACAGAGTGCGTTGTTGTTGTTGTTGTTGTTGTTGTACGACTTTTTCCTCTGGAAACCAAGAACTAAGTGGTGTAAAGGATGTAGACAGCATGCATTGTTGTTATTGTTGTTGTTGTTGTAGTAAATAAATAAATAAGAACTTCCTGACTGTGAGAGCCGTTCAGCAGTGGAACTCTCTGCCCCGGAGTGTGGTGGAGGCTCCTTCTTTGGAGGTTTTTAAACAGAGGCTAGATGGCCATCTGTAAGGGGTGCTTTGAATGCAATATTCCTGCTTCTTGGCAGGGGGTTGGACTGGATGGCCCATGAGGTCTCTTCCAACTCTAGGATTCTATTATTGTCGTTGTACGGCTTTTTCCTCTGGAAACCAAGAACTAAGTGGTGTAAAGGATGTAGACAGCATGCATTGTTGTTATTGTTGTTGTTGTTGTTGTTGTTGTTGTTGGGAATAACTTCCTGACTGTGAGAGCCGTTCAGCAGTGGAACTCTCTGCCCTGGAGTGTGGTGGAGGCTCCTTCTTTGGAAGTTTTTAAACAGAGGCTAGATGGCCATCTGTCAGGGGTGCTTTGAATGCCATAATCCTTCTTCTTGGCAGAATGGGGTTGGACTGGATGGCCCATGAGGTCTCTTCCAACTCTAGGATTCTATTATTGTCGTTGTACGGCTTTTTCCTCTGGAAACCAAGAACTAAGTGGTGTAAAGGATGTAGACAGCATGCATTGTTGTTATTGTTGTTGTTGTTGTTGTTGTTGTTGTTGAGGAATAACTTCCTGACTGTGAGAGCCGTTCAGCAGTGGAACTCTCTGCCCTGGAGTGTGGTGGAGGCTCCTTCTTTGGAAGTTTTTAAACAGAGGCTAGATGGCCATCTGTCAGGGGTGATTTGAATGCAATATTCCTGCTTCTTGGCAGAATGGGGTTGGACTGGATGGCCCATGAGGTCTCTTCCAATTCTAGGATTCTATTATTGTTGTTGTACGGCTTTTTCCTCTGGAAACCAAGAACTAAGTGGTATAAAGGATGTAGACAGCACGCATTGTTGTTGTTGTTGTTGTTGTTGTTGTGATTGTTGTTGCTGTACGACTTTTTCCTCTGGAAACCAAGAACTAAGTGGCATAAAGGATGTAGACAGCATGCATTGTTGTTGTTGTTGTTGTTGTTGTTGTTGTTGTTCCTACTACTCCCCATCTACCACTTTTCTCTCTGGAAACGGTAGTGGTGAGCAGATCTTGTGAATTCACCTGGACTTGATCTCCCCATTGCATTCTGCAGCCTTTGCTTTATGACATAACCGGATGGAGAAGGGAAGAGGTCCTTCAGTCCTGATGGAGCCCAGTGTGAAGATGGAGAAGCCCAACCAGACCAGCCCTGAAGGGGGAAGAGAGCCCAGTGCCGTTTTGGGCAGGAGAAATGTCCAGTTCTGGAGGAGAGTGCCCTCGGGGGCTCTGGAGGCAAAGATTTTTAGCTCGAAAGCTCAGCGCCAACTCTTCAGACAATTCTCCTATAATGAGGCTGCAGGACCCCGAGAAGTGTGCAGCCGCCTCCACTCCCTCTGCCGCCTGTGGCTGAAGCCCGAGCGACACTCCAAGGCGGAGATGCTGGACCTGGTGATCCTGGAGCAGTTCCTGGCCGTCCTTCCTGCGGAGATGGAGCGCTGGGTGAGGGAATGTGGGGCAGAGACCAGCTCCCAGGCTGTGGCCTTGGCGGAAGGATTCCTCCTGAGTCGGGCCCAAGAGGAGAAGCAGACAGAGCAGCCAGGCAGTGATCTTCTCCAGCTTAAGGTCATGCAATCAGACAAAAGCCAGAGGTTCTCTTCTGAACGGAGCAAGCTGAAGGGCAACAGAAGGTTCGCTCCACCAGGTAAGAGGCCATCTCTGTTGTGAGAAACCATCACATATTTATTTATTATTTTACAGTATTGATATTTCGCCCTTCTCACTCTGCAGGGGACTCAGGGCGGATCACAATGCACATATACATGGCAAACATTCAATGCCATAGACACACAATATGTGTAGACAGACTCACAGAGGCTAATTAACTTTCCAGTTAAAGGAGATTCCATCTGAACATGAGGAAGAACTTCCTGACTGTGAGAGCCATTCAGCAGTGGAACTCTCTGCTCCGGATTGTGGTGGAGGCTCCTTCTTTGGAAGCTTTTAAACAGTGCTCGCTTTGGCAGCACATATACTAAAATTGGAACGATACAGAGAAGATTAGCATGGAAGCTTTTAAACAGAGGCTGGATGGCCATCTGTCAGGGGTGATTTGAATGTAATATTCCTGCTTCTTGGCAGAATGGGGTTGGACTGGATGGCCCATGAGGTCTCTTCCAACTCTTTGATTCTATGATCCAGCTTCATGAGCGTATGCTTTTTGAATTCCGACCACCGGGGGAGCTATTGCTTCACCATCTATTTGACGCCGATGGAGTACTTCCTCATTCTTTTGCACGCTGCTGGAGAGTTTTATGGCGTCGTAAATTAGTTAAATTAGCCTCCCCACATAAGCGGTATCTAAATTTCCTACTTGATAGATGCAAATGTCTTTCGGGCTGCAAAGGTCAACAGCAAGCTAGACAAATGGTTGGGAGCTTACTCCAGGCTGGCTTCGAATTCATAACCTTTCAGTCAGTAGTGATTTTTAATGCAACTGACTCTCAACCAGCTGTGCCAAAACCCGATCATATAGTCTTCTGCTCCATCCCTACAAATATGTATCTACAATAGCTGTTTAGTTCTAAAAATATTATTATTATTATTATTATTATTATTATTATTATTATTTAAAACTTTTATATCCTGATCTTTTCTACCTCCGTAGAGGGACTCAGACCGGCTGACAGCAAGAAATCAATACTAACAGTAAAAATCTAAAATATCAAATATCAACAGTAAATTAAAAAATACATATAAAATAAATACATAAAAGCCATTCGCCAAGATAGAAAACATGTCTAACTCAGTCCGTATATTCAGTCCATGTATTGTGGTCAATAACTTTGGTCGGTTACCGGTCTCACCCATCATTCTGCAAAGGCCTCATTCCACAACCAGGTTTTTACTAATTTCCTAAAGGTCAGGAGGGAGGGGGCAGATCTAATTTCATTCGGGAAGGAATTCCATAGCCGAGGGGCCACCACAGAAAAGGCCCTGTCTCTAGTTTTAACAATAATTTTAAGAACGTATACATAAATAAGGCCCCCTTGGTGGCGCAGCAGGCTAAACAGCTGAGCTGATGAACTTGCTGACCAAAAGATCAGCGGTTCAAATCCGAGGAGCAGCATGAGCTCCCGCTGTTAGGCCCATCGCCTGCCAACCTAGCAGTTCGAAAACATGCAAATCTGAGTAGATCAATAGGTATCGCTTCTGCGGGAAGGTAGATGAATAGATACTGCTTCTGCAGGAAGGTAATGTTGCTCTATGCAGTCATGCAGTCCACATGACCTTGGAGGTGACTATGGACAACGCCAGCTCTTCGGCTTACAAATGGAGATGAGCACCAACCCTCAGAGTCCGGCACGACTGGACTTAATGTCAGGAAAAACTTCTACCTTGGGGAAGATAAAGTGGAGTATAAATAAACATAATAATAACTAGCTGTCTCCTGCCATGCGTTGCTGTGGCCCAGTCTGTTGATCTGGAAAATAAAGTAATGAGAAAGCGTTGGTTTCCAATATATGTAATTTCTTTATGCTTGTGGGTAAACAGTATTTCTTGCTGTTTCTTTGTCAGTGTTGATGTGGAGAGTGTCTGTTTTGCCCACCCTGGAACATGCAAGATATCATTGTCCTTCTTTAAGGGTCCCTTTCAAATCTATGATACTATATCACCCTTCCATCTATCTATCTATCTATCTATCTATCTATCTATCTCTATGGCTGGATGGTTCTTTGTCAGGAGGACTTTGATTACGTTTTCTTGCCCTGATGAAGGGAGTTGGATTGGATGGCCTTAAGTATTTTCTGTTGGTCATGGGGTTCTGTGTGGGAAGTTTGCCCCAATTCTGTCATTTGTGGGGTTCAGAATGCTCTTTGATTGTAGGTGAACTGTGAATCCCAGTGACTACAACTCCCAAATGTCGAGGTCTATTTCCCCCAAACTCCACCAGTGTTCATATTTGGGCATATTGAGTGCTTGTGCCAAATTTGGTCCAGATCCATCATTGTTTGAGTCCACAGTGCTCTCTCTGGATATAGGTGAACTACAACTCCCAAACCCAAGGTCAATGCCCTCCAAACCTTTCCACACAACAGGGGGGTGGGAGTTCTGTGTGCCAAGTTTGGTTCAATTCCATCATTGATGGAGTTCAGAATGCTCTTTGATTGTAGGTGAACTATAAATCCCAGCAACTACAACTCCCAAATGACAAAATAATAATTTTTTGAGTGATGGTCACTCCTTGTGTTGTGAGACGTTTTGTTGCCAAATTTGGTGTGATTTTGTTCATTGGTTCTTTTGTTTTTAAGGTACTCATTTTTATATATGTAGATAATAATACTCAACTGTGTTCAGATTTTTAACCATATACACTTCTAATTGACAGGCTGAACATTCCTTTCTGATATACGTAAATAAAGAAATTAAACTTGTTTATTTGGCATTTCACAGAAGGTGAACGACGTGATCGCTCATCTGCGTGTGCTGCGGGAGAAACGGCATCCAGACAACAGGAACAGGTAAAAGGATGGAAGCAGAGATGAACTGGAGACAATTACAGCATTGTCTGCATGGCCTCAAAGCTTGTTTTCTGCCCCAGCCCAAGTTTTGAGGTTCTTGAAGGCCTTCATCTTCCATTAGGGCCCATACGGTTCTCTCCACTTTGGATTGGATGGACCCTGTTTTCAAACCTTGATTGGATCAACTGTACCTTGAGATCCTGCTTAGCTGCTTTGGGTTAAACTCTGGGAGAAAGGCGGTATATACGTTAAACCAATACATAAATAATACATACGGTAAATGGCACTGGAGGAACCTTCTGAGTGGTTGCTCCAAGGCTCCCTTCCCAAAGTGGGGAGATTGCCCTGCTCTATTTCTGCAAACACAGCCTTAAAGGACTGATGGTTTGGTCAGGACATTCCTTTCTCAACCTGGGGGTCAGGACCTCGCGTGGTGGTGTCAGAGGGGTCACCAAGACCATCAGAAAACACAGTATTTTCTATTGGTCATGGGGGTTCTGTATGGGAAGTCCGGCCCAATTCTATCATTGATGGGGTTCAGAATGCGCTTTGGTTGTAGAGGAACTACAAATCCCAGCAACTATATCAATCAAAGCCTATTTTAATCAAATATCAAAACAAATATCAAATATCAAAGCCTATTTCCCAAATATCAAAGCCTATTTTCCCCAAACTCCAGCACTCTTCACATTGGAGCATATTGAGGATTAGTGCCAAATTTGGTCCAGATCCATTATTGTTTTCAGTGCTCTCTGGATGTAGGTGAACTACAACTCCAAAACTCAAGGTCAATGCCCACCAAACCCTTCCAGTGTTTTGTGTTAGTCATGGGAGCTCTGGGTGCCAAGTTTTGTTCAATTCAATCATTGGTGGAGTTCAGAATGCGCTTTGATTGTAGATGAACTATAAATCCCAGTAACTACAACTTCCAAATCTCAAGGTCTATTTTCCCCAAACTCCACCAATGGTCATATTTGGTCATACTGTATTGTCAAAGGTTTTCATGGCCAGAATCACTGGGTTGTTGTAGGTTTTTTCGGGCTATATGGCCATGTTCTAGAGGCATTCTCTCCTGACATTTCACCTGCATCTATGTCAAGCATCCTCACTACCTCTGAGGATGCTTGCCATAGATGCAGGTGAAGCGTCAGAAGAGAACATGGCCATATAGCCCGAAAAAACCTACAACAACCCAGTGATTCTGGCCATGAAAGCCTTCGACAATACAGATCCGTCATTGTTTGAGTCCACAGTGCTCTCTGGATGTAGGTGAACTACAACTCCAAAACTCGAGGTCAATGCTCACCAAACCCTTCCAGTGTTTTCTGTTGGTTGTGGGAGTTCTGTGTGCCAAGTTTGGCCCAATTCCATTCTTGGTGGAGTTCAGAATGCTCTTTGATTGTAGGTGAACTATAAATCCCAGTAACTACAACTCCCAAATGACAATCTCACCCCCAACCCCCACCAGGATTCAAATTTGGGCACGTTGGGTATTTTTGCCAAATTCAGTCCCGTGAATGCAAAGACATCCTGCATATCAGGTATTTACATGACGATTCATAATAGTAGCAAAAATAGTTATGAATTAGCAACAAAGATAATGTGATGGTGGGGGGTCACCACAACACAGGAAACTGTATTAAGGGGCTGCGACATTAGGGAGGTTGAGGACCACGGCTTTAAAGATGCTGAAGGCCCCTTTATTGCACTGGAAGGGGTGCATATCGGATTTTGTTTCTCAATGGAAGAAGCCTTATTGATCTGTGTGTCCAAATTCTCTCCTTTCAGGTGACGCTTGAGGATGTGTCTGTGCATTTCAATGAGGAGGAGCAGGCTCTCCTGGATCCCGATCAATGGACCCTGCACTGGGAGGTCATGGAGGAGAACTATAAGATGGTGGCTTCTCTTGGTAAGGATTCCTCTGCCTCTTGGTCAATAAACATCAGCGGTCTTGCTGCATCCTTCAGGGTCATGGGTCAACTGTAGGTCCAGCACTTAGAACCTTAGATCATGCTGACCAGTTGGAATTCAGAGTTCGAAGGAGTGTGAGAATAGCTAACAAGAAGGAAGTCAGAGGCCAAAGAAACGCCTTCATGTTTTGCAAAGGGTATTAACCAGTGTGTTTGGGACCAAGGTTTCAGAACTTTTTATCTTTTACTTTTTAATAAACTACTAGCGGTCCCCTGCCACGCGTTGCTGTGGCCCAATTTGGTGATCTGGAAAATAAAGTAATGAGAAAGTGTTGGTTTCTAATATATGTAGTTTCTTAATGCTTGTGGGTAAACAGTACTTCTTGTTGATTCTTTGTCAGTGTTGATGTGGAGATTGTCTGGTCTACCTACTCTGGAACATGCAACATATCATTGTCCTTCTTTAGAGTCCCTTTCAAATCTGTCATATACATATATGTGTGCGTGTGAATGGCTGGATGGCCCTTTGTCAGGAGGGCTTTGATTATGCTTTCTTGCCCTGGTGAAGGGAGTTGGACTGGATGGCTTTAAGGCAGCATTTCTCAACCTGGGAAGTCAAGACTCCGGGGGGGGGGGGGGGTCACCAGGGGTATCAGAAGGGTCACCAAAGACCACCGGAAAACACAGTATTTTCTGTTGGTCATGATGGTTCTGTGTGGGAAGTTTGCCCCAATTCTGTCGTTGGTGGGGTTCAGAATGCTCGATTGTAGGGGAACTATAAATCCCAGTAACTACAACTCCCAAATGGCAAGGTCTATTTTCCCCAAACTCCATCTGTGTTTATATTTGGGCATATTGAGTATTCATGCCATGTTTTGTCCAGATCCATCATTGTTTGAGTCCACAGTGCTCTCTAGATGTAGGTGAACTACAACTCCAAAACCCAAGGTCAATGCCCACCAAACCCTTCTAGTGTTTTCTGTTGGTCAAGGGAGTCTTGTGTGGCAAGTTTGGTTCCATTCCATTGTTGCTGGAGTTCAGAATGCTCTTTGATTATAGGTGAACTATAAATCCCAGCAACTACAACTCCCAAATGACAAAATCATAATTGTTTGAGTGATGGTCACTCCTTGTGTTGTGAGACGTTTTGTTGCCAAATTTGGTGTGATTTCGTTCACTGGTTCTTTTGTTTTTAAGGTACTCATTATGCACAGAGCATTTTTATATATACAGATAAAGACTTCTGGCTGTGTGCAGTTTGGTGTTTTCAGCAAGGTGAACCTATATGTTCCGCAGCCCTTTCATGAGCCAAGGTTCTCACCTCACCTTGCTTTTCTCATTCTCTCCCTTATAATGTTTGTGTTAATTGACTGATTAATATAATAATAATAATAATAATAATAATAATAATAATAATAATACTTTATTTTTATTCTGTTCTATCTCCCCAAAGGGACTCGGGGCAGATTCCAAACATAAACAGCAAACATTCAATGTCTGAAACAACAACAATACATCCATACTAACAAATTTATACAACCCAACATATAACTATGAATGATAACTTAACAAACTAAAATTAAATAAAAAGCACAGCCCGTTATAACAGACATAAGACAAAATATCAAACATCAAATGAGAACAATAATTTCCCATTTCTTTGGGGCAAATCAATTAATGTATTGTCGAAGGGTTTCATGGCCGGAATCACTGGGTTCTTGTAGGTTTTTTTGGGCTATATGGCCATGTTCTAGAGGCATTCTCTCCTGACGTTTCGCCTGCATCTATGGCAAGCATCCTCAGAGGTAGCAAGGTCTGTTGGAAGTAGGAAAATGGGTTTATATATCTGTGGAAAGACCAGGGTGAGACAAGATGTATAAGCCCTTTATATATTCACAGATATATAAGCGCTTTTTCCTAGTTCCAACAGCCCTCACTACCTCTGAGGATGCTTGCCATAGATGCAGGCGAAACGTCAAGAGAGAATGCCTCTAGAACATGGCCATATAGCCCGAAAAAACCTACAACAACCCAAATCGATTAATCATTGCTCAAGATATCTATTGAGCTGGTGGGGTGAGCAGGGCACGGATACGGATGGCAACTATCAATCAGAGGCTTATGTTATTGTTTTATTGTCTTTGTTTGATTTTAATTGCTTGTACTGTTGTTGTTATTGCTTGTATTGTTGTATTATGGGTTTGGCCTCATGTAAGCCGCACCGAGTCCCTTGGGGAGATGATAGGTAAAGGTAGTCCCCTGACATTAAGTCCAGTCATGTCTGACTCTGGGGTGTGGTGCTCATCTCCATTTCTAAGCCGAAGAGCCAGCGTTGTCCGTAGACACCTCCAAGGTCATGTGGCCGGCATGACTGCATGGAGCGCCGTTACCTTCCCGCCGGAGCGGTACCTATTGATCTACTCACATTTGCATGTTTTCGAACTGCTGGGTTGGCAGAAGCTAGGGCTGACAGCGGAAGCTCACGCCGCTCCCCGGAATCGAACCTGCGACCTTTCGATCAACAAGCTCAGCAGCTCAGTGCTTTAACCCACTGCGCCACCGGGGGAGATGGTAGCAGGGTATAAATAAAGATTATTATTATTATTATTATTATTACCACCTACTATTCCTCCTCCTCGTAAGCCTGTGAGCAAAGGTATGTCTTCAGCTGATTCCATGCCTCTCTTTTCTCATGCTTGCTTTCTGCTTCCTTCTTTCAAGGTGATGATGAACCACGGAGTGAAAACGAGGGAACGCCACGTAAAGCGTGGCTGCAAACAGCGAGATGTAAAGAGGAGGAAGAGGAGGAGGCCATGGTCACGGAAGCAGAAATAAATAGAAGGAACCAATGGCTTGCTGACACCTGGGAAATCACAGTCCAAGAAATCGGAGATGAGAGCAGGGAGGTCGGGGAGTGCCCTGTCGACGAGGAAGACGTCTCTCACCAGGACGGCGATATTGTGCACTGCGTAGGAGAACCTAAATGCCCCCAATTGGGAGATAACTTTGAATGCAATATACAACTCACTAAGCACGAGAACGTGGGATTTGGAAACAGCTTCCATCACGGAGTAGATTTCGGTAGCCACGAGATATCCCACGTAGAGGAAATCCCCTATGACCAAATATCCCACATAGAGGAATATCCGTACGAGTACCTGGAATGCGGGGAAGGCTTTGCGGAAAAGTCCAATCTGATTGGGAACGATATGAACCCCAGGGGAGAGAAACCCCATAAATGCCTGGAGTGTGGGAAGAGCTACCGGTACCCGTTGGCGCTCTATCGGCACCGGGAAGTCCACGCGAGAGGGAACTCGTACACCTGCATGGAGTGCGGGAAGAGCTTCCACCATAAGGGGCACCTCAACAGACACCGGAAATCCCACTTGGGAGAGAAGCCTTACAAGTGCCTGGAGTGCGGGAAGTGCTTCGCCGAAAAGAAGAGCCTCGTCGCGCACGAGATGAACCACCGAGGAGAGAAGCCCTACAAATGCCTGGAGTGCGGGAAGAGCTACAGCTACAAGTCGGTCCTCAAGAGCCACCAGGAGAGCCACACCGAGCGGAAACCCTATGTCTGCCCCGAATGCGGGAAGAGCTTCAGCCAGAGATCAGCCCTCAACCGGCACCAGAATATCCACACCTGGAAGGAAAACGCACAGGGACAGAAAGTGCCGCCTCTCGATTTTGTATATTGTACAATCCCTCCCATCTAAGTCAGCCCAAAAAAAAATATCTAGATACTCTTTCTGGCATGCTTTAAAGATAAATATGTATATCTAACAGGTCGGTGCGACATTTTAGTCCTTCGCTCTGCACCCGACCTGCATACCCCTTTCTTTACGTTTCTTACCCTTGTTGACGTCATGTTGTACCTTTTTTGTTTGTCGAAGTCATTCCTCTCCCGTCATCCCCCCATTTTAGTCAGTACATTAAATAGTTAGGGAAAAATTGTTATCGTGTTAACCTGAAAATAATAAAAGATGGAGGATTTATTTATCGTGTCAGGGGCAACCAGACCATTGTGTTACATTTCTAACAGAACAAAACAAACAAACAGACAAAACACAAAGTTTGCAAGCTTGGTAGTTGATTAAATGTCCTTTGACCAGTATCTGGCCACTTGGAGTGCCTCTGGTGTTGCCGCAAGAAGGTCCTCCATTGTGCATGTGGCAGGGCTCAGGGTGCATTGCAGCAGGTGGTCAGGTGGTTTGCTCTTCTCCACACTCGCATGTCGTGGATTCCACTTTGTAGCCCCATTTCTTGAGGTTGGCTCTGCATCTCGTGGTGCCAGAGCGCAGTCTGTTCAGTGCCTTCCAAGTCGCCCAGTCTTCTGTGTGCCCAGGGGGAGTCTCTCATTTGGTATCAGCCATTGGTTGAGGTTCTGGTTTGAGCCTGCCACTTTTGGAGTCTTGCTTGCTGGGGTGTTCCAGCGAGTGTCTCTAGATCTTAGAAAACTATTCCTTGATTTAAGTCATTGACATGCTGGCTGATACCCAAACAAGGGATGAGCTGGAGATGTCTCTGCCTTGGTCCTTTCACTATTGGCTGCTACTTCCCGGCGGATGTCAGGTGGTGCAATACCAGCTATGCTTGTTGTTCATTCGTTCAGTCGTCTCCAACTCTTCGTGACCTAATGGACCAGCCCACGCCAGAGCTCCCTGTCGGCCGTCACCACCCCCAGCTCCTTCAAGGTCAGTCCAGTCACTTCAAGGATGCCATCCTAGACAGTGTAATTTCTCCAGTGGTGTGGGGCGCAGACACCCTGTGATAATGCGGCATGTCTCATTAAGAGCCACATCTACTGTTTTAGTGTGGTGAGATGTGTTCCACACTGGGCATGCATACTCAGCAGCAGAGTAGCATAGCACAAGGGCAGATGTCTTCACTGTGTCTGGTTGTGATCCCCAGGTTGTGCCAGTCAGCTTTCGTATGATATTGTTTCTAGCACCCACTTTTTGCTTGATGTTCAGGCAGTGCTTCTTGTGGGTCAGAGCACGGTCCAGAGTGACTCCCAGGTATTTGGGTGCGCTGCAATGCTCCAGTGGGATTCCTTCCCAGATCATCCTCAGAGCTCAGGATGCTTGTCTGTTCTTGAGATGAAAGGCACATGTCTGTGTTTTGGATGGATTGGGGATCAGCTAGTTTTCCCTTTAGTAGGCGGCAAGAGCACCTAGAGCTTCAGAGAGCTTCTGTTCAAGATGGAGGCATACTGTATGAGTAGTGGAATATAGAGTGGAAGTGCAACTAGAATAAAGTGGGATTGGTAGCACAAGGGCCGGGCTGGTAGCACAACTGGTTAATCAGCTGCAATAAATCACCGCCGACTGAAAGGTGGCAAGTTCGAAGCCCAAGTCGGGGTTGAGCACCCACTGTAATAGCTGTTAAAAAATAGCTGTTAAAAAAATGCCCAGCTCATTGTGCCACATTAGAACAGTAAAGACAAAGTATTGTTGAAGGCTTTCATGGGCGGAATCACTGGGTTGTTGTAGGTTTTTTCGGGCTATATGGCCATGTTCTAGAGGCATTCTCTCCTGACGTTTCGCCTGCATCTATGGCAAGCATCCTCAGAGGATGCTTGCCATAGATGTAGGTGAAACATCAGGAGAGAATGCTTCTAGAACATGGCCATATAGCCCGAAAAACCTACAACAACCAATTATTGAATGTTACTGAAATGAGAACAAAAATATGACACCATTAAAATGCCAGAGAGCAAAGAAGAAATACTACAATCAAAAAGGCTCGGCATCATAGTGGATAAAGCGACAGCTCCCCCTGTGGCCAAATCGAGCAACCTTCAGGATCCGAAGTGGAAGAACTGCTGAATGGCCTCTGTCTGTCTGTATGTCTTGTATGTCAAAAACGGCATTGAATGTTTGCTGTGTATATGTACATTGTGATCTGCCCTGAGTCCCCTTCAGGGTGATGTCATGGGTTCCACTTTGTAGCCCAATTTCTTAAGGTTGGCTCTGCATCTCGTGGTTCCAGAGCGCAGTCTGTTCAGTGCCTTCCAAGTTGCCCAGTTTTCTGTGTGCCCAGGGGGGATTCTCTCATTTGGTATCAGCCATGGATTGAGGTTCTGGGTTTGAGCCTGCCACTTTTGGACTCTCGCTTGCTGAGGTGTTCCAGTTGTCTCTGTAGATCTTAGAAAACTATTTCTTGATTTATGTCGTTGGTGTGCTGGCTGATATCCGAACATGGGATGGGCTGGAGATGGAAAATAAGGTTGGGGTAATAACATACCCTTGCTTGGGATATTTACAGCATAGACCAGGCATGGGCCAACTTGGGCACTCCAGGTGTTTTGGGCTTCAACTCCCACCATGGAAGAGCACTTTGCTTTTCCCAACGTTCATGCTTCTCATTTAGAGTGGCTTGTAGGTCTTCTTCTGAATTGGCATAGACTACATTATCATCAGCATATTAGAGTTCTCATAACATCTGTTATAGAACTCTAATATGCTGATGATAACATAGTCTATGCCCATGCCTGGACAAACTTTGGCCCTCCAGGTGTTTTGGACTTCAACTCCCACTATTCCTAACAACCTCAGGCCCCTTCCTTTTCCGCCTCAGCTGCTTAAGCCAAACTACAACTCCCATGGCAGTTGAAGTGGTGCCAAACTGGATTAATTCCGCAGTGTAGATGCACCAGAGTAGGATTTAGCAGCTGCATAGAGATGGAGATGAGGATATCTTTAAGCCAGGGGAGATATTATGCTATCTTTGGCTAAGGAGCCATCAGCCAGGCATATCCTGAACAAAAGAAAGATTTGCAAGGCTTGATCTGTTTCCTAGTGTGACCATTGTGGCAAAACCTGCCTCCATTCACTTTTTTCATGTGCAAATGCTGTTGCTTTCTGCCCTGACTTGTTTACCTTCCCATCTTGATCCCTGGGCCTTTGGGGCAAGGAAAGGGTGGTCTTTTGGGAGCTGCCTTTGCAAACTATCCTTCACTTGAGCAGGACTCCTGGGTTGTGTTGGTTGGAGACCTCTCTGCACCATTCCCAGAAGACAGGCAGAAAGTCAACACTGGAAATCTGTGGTAAGGAAGTTCTAAGTCTCTCTTTCTTTAAATTGCCTTTACTATTGCAGTATAGATATTTGTCATCTTTTGCTGTGAATGAAATAGAATTAAAATGACATTATTTCTTTCCCCACTCTACTTTTATTTTCCCTATTGACTTCCCATCCCTTGGATAAGAGACATATATACTAGTATATAAAATATATACTATTATATATAATACTAGCTGTACCCGCCACTAGCTGTGGCCAACCTTCCCTCCCTCTTTCCTCCTTCCTCCTTCCTTCGCCTTCTTTCTTTCCTTCCTTCCCTTTTTTCCTTCTCTCCTTCCTTCTCTACCTCTTTCCTTCCTTCCTTTGCTTGTTGCTTCCATCCTTCCTTTTCTCTTTTCTTCCCTCCCTCTTTCTCTCCTTTTTTCCTTCCTTCGCTCCCTTTCCTTCCATCCCTTTATTCTCTCCTTCTCTCATTCCTTTCTCTACTTCCTCCCCCCTTTTTCTTTTCCTTCCTTCTCTCCTTTCTTCCTTCTCTACCTCTTTCCTTCCTTCTCTCTTTCCTTCCCTCTCTCTTCCTCTCTTCCTTCTTTTCTTCCCTCCCTTCCTCTCTTTCCTCCCTTTTTCTTCCTTCTCTCCTTCCTTCTCTACCTCTTTCCTTCCTTCCTTTGCTTGTTGCTTCCATCCTTCCTTTTCTCTTTTCTTCCCTCCCTCTTTCTCTCCTTTTTTCCTTCCTTCGCTCCCTTTCCTTCCATCCCTTTATTCTCTCCTTCTCTCATTCCTTTCTCTCTTCATCCCTCCCTTTTTCTTTTCCTTCCCTTCTCTCCTTTCTTCCTTCTCTACCGCTTTCCACTTCCTTCTCTCTTTCCTTCCCTCTCTTTCTTCTCCTTCTTTCCTCCTTCCTTTGCTCCCTCTTTCCTTTTTTCTTTCCTTCTCTCCTTCCTTTTCTCCTCTCTTTCCTTCCCCCTTTTTTCTTTTCCTTCCCTTTCTCTCCTTTCTCCTTCTCTACTTCTCTCCTTCCTTTCTTTTTGCTTCCATTCCTTCCTTCTCTTTCCTTCTTTCCTTCCCTTTCCTTCCTTTTTTCTTCCTCTCCTTCTTCTTTCTCTACCTCTTCTCTTCCTCCTTTTTCTTTTCTTCTTTCTCTCCTTTCTTCTTCTCTACCTCTTTTCCTTCCTTCATTTGCTTTTTGCTTCCATCCTTCCTTTCCTTTCCTTCCCTTCTCCTTCTTTCCTTCTCCTTCGCTCCCTCTTTCCTTCCTTTTTTTCTTTCCTTTCTCCCTTCCTTCCTTCTCTACCTCTTTCCTTCCTTTCCTTTCCTTTTCTTCCCTTCTCTCCTTCCTTCCTTCTCTACCTCTTTCCTTCCTTCCTTCCTTTTTGCTTTCCATCCTTCCTTCTCTCTTCCTTCCTCTCCCTCTTTCTCTCCTTCTTCCTTCTCCTTCCCCCTTCTTTCCTTCCTCCTTTTTCTTTCTTCTCTCCTTCCTTCTCTCCTTTTTCCTCCTCCCTCCCTCCTTTTTCCCTTTCTTTCCCTTTCTCTCCTTCCTTCCCTTCTCTCCTTTCCTTCCTTCCTCCTCTCTTTCCTTCCCTCCCTCTTTCCCTCTCTTCTTTTTCCTTCCTCCTTCCTCCCTCTTTCCTCTCCCTTTTTCTTTCCTTCCTCCTTCCTTCTCTACCTCTTTTCCTTCCTCCCTCCCTCTCTTTTTCTTTCCTTCCCTTTCTATCCTTTCTTCCTTCTCTACCTCTCTCCTTCCTTCCTTCGCTTTTTGCTTCCATCCTTCTCTTTCCTTCCCTCCCTCTCTCCTTCTTTCCTTCCTCCCTTCGCTCCCTCTTTCCTTCCTGCCCTTTTTTCTTTCCTTCTCTCCTTCCTTCTCTAACTCTTTCCTTCCTTCTCCCTCTCTTTTTCTTTCCTTTCTCTCCTTTCTTTCCTCTCTCCTCTTTTCCTTCCTTCCCCTTTGCTTCCATCTTCTTCTTCCTCTTTCTTCTTTCCTTCCTCTTTCTTCCTTCCTTTTTCTTTCTCCCTTCTTCCTTTACTCTTTCTCCTCTTCTTCCTCCTCTTCCTTCCTTCTTTCTTTCCCTTCCTCCCTCTTGCTCTCTCTCTCTTTCTTTCCCTCCCTCTTCCTTCCCTTTTGTTCTGTATCGTCATTTAGTTTTTTTTGGTTTTTAAGTCTTTTCCGCACATACTGAATTATGTTCAGCAGTGGAACTTCCTAACTGTGAGAGCTGTTCAGCAGTGGAACTCTCTGCCGCAGAGTGTGGTGGAGGCTCCTTCTTTGGAGACTTTTAAACAGAGGCTGGATGGCCATCTGTCAGGGGTGCTTGGAATACAATTTTCCTGCTTCTTGGCAGGGGGTTGGACTGGGTCTCTTCCAACTCTAGGATTCTATGATTCTATGATATGCTAGTATATATAGTATATTTCAAACTGCATTATATGGTAGTGAAGATGGAACCTCAGGATGTATTTTCATTCAGAGGACCACAATTGGCACAAATACCCAATACGCCCAAATTTGAATACTGGTGGGGTTGGGGAAAATAAACATTGACATTTGGGAGTTGTAGTTGCTGGGATTTATAGTTCACCTACAATCAAAGTGCATTCTGAACTCCACCAAGGATGGAATTGAACTAAACTTGGCACACAGAACTCCCATGACCAACAGAAAATACTGGAAGGGTTTGGTGGGCATTGACCTTGAGTTTGGAGTTGTAGTTCACCTACATCCAGAGCATCGTGGACTCAAACAATGTTGGATCAGGACCAAACTTGGCATGAATACTCAATATGCCCAAATGTGGAGTTTGGGGAAAATAAACCTTGACATTTGGGAGTTGTAGTTGCTGGGATTTATAGTTCACCTACAATCAAAGTGCATTCTGAACCCCACCAGTGAGAGAATTGGACCAAACTTCCCACACAGAAACCTCATGAAAAACAGACTAAATCATTGACTTGCACACCTTCTTTTTCTTGCATTCCCAGAACGCAATATATTGTTTTGTTTTGGGTATAGAGCCATCCCACTATGGCTGAGATGCTGGAACAGGTGATCCTAAAGCAGTTCCTCTCCACCCTTCCCGTGGAAATGGGGAACCGGGTGAGAGAATGTGGGCCCCAATCCAGTTTTGAGGCGGAGGCCTTGGCTAAATGTGCCCTTCCAAACCAGACGAAGGACGAGACGCCGGGAGAGCAACAGGTAAGCATTTTGTCCTTAGATCCGATATCCATCTAATCCATGGGTGCATCTACACATCGGAATTAGTGCAGTTTGATATGGTAGCACATCGTGTTAAACTGCTAGCTGCAGAAAATCCGGTGACCAGAAGTTTGGCGGTTCAATTCCGTGAGTTGGGGTGAGCTCCCGAATTTCAGCTCTAGCTTCTGACAAACCTAGCAGTTCGAAAGCATGTAATACGAGTAGATCAATAGTTATCGCTTGCAGACATGCCGACATTACAATTGGAGATGTTTGTGGACAACAGGATCCTTGACATGGAAATTGGAACAAGAGCACCTCCCCATGGTTGGAGTTGAGCATTGCCTCCAAACGCTGGAGATGGAAAAAGGAGAAGGCCTTTCCTTTTGTCTGTGATGTATGTCATTGTTCACTGTGTGTAAAAAGCATTGAATATCTTTTTCCTCATGTGTATATTATAATCTTCTCCCTCTGGAGAGATAGTGGAATATAAATAAAGTGTATTATTATTATATTATATTATTATTATATTTATTTATTTATTTATTTTATAATAATATTTTAATAATATTAATAATATTATATTATTATTATTATCTGCTGTGTAGGTTCTGCAGGACCTCCTGGATAATACACCAAAAAGAGACATTATTTTCATTACAGGAGACTGGAATGCCAAGGTGGGAAGTCAAATGACAACAGGGATCACAGGCAAGCATGGTCTGGGAGAACAAAATGAAGCGGGACGCAGGCTGATAGAATTTTGCCAGGAAAACTCGCTGTGTATAACGAATACTCTCTTCCAACAACCTAAAAGACGGCTTTATACATGGACCTCACCAGATGGTCAACACCGAAATCAGATTGACTACATCCTTTGCAGCCAAAGGTGGCGGACATCCATCCAGTCGGTGAAAACAAGACCTGGGGCTGACTGTAGCTCAGATCACGAACTTCTTATTGCTCAATTTAGAAAAAAACTAAAGAGATCAGGGAAAATACACAGACCAGTTAGATATGATCTCACTAACATTCCTAGCGAATATACAGTGGAAGTGAAGAACAGATTTGAAGAACTAGATTTAGTAAACAGAGTCCCAGAGAAACTATGGACAGAAGTCCGCAACATTGTTCAGGAGGTGGCAACAAAGGACGTCCCAAAGAAAAAGAAAACCAAGAAGGCAAAATGGTTGTCTGCTGAGACACTGGAAGTAGCCCAAGAAAGGAGGAAAGCAAAAGGAAACAGTAATAAGGGGAGATATGCCCAGTTAAATGCGCAATTCCAGAGGTTAGCCAGAAGAGATAAGGAACTATTTTTAAATAAGCAATGCATGGAAGTGGAAGAAGACAACAGAATAGGAAGGACAAGAGACCTCTTCCAGAAAATTAGAAACATTGGAGGTAAATTTCAGGCAAAAATTGGTATGATAAGAACCAAAGATGGCAGGGACCTAACAGAAGCTGAAGAGATCAAGAGAAGGTGGCGAGACTATACAGAAGATCTGTATAGGAAGGATAATAATATGAGGATAGTTTTGACGGTGTGGTGAATGAATTAGAACCAGACATCCTGAGGAGTGAGGTTGAATGGGCCTTAAGAAGCATTGCTAACAACAAGGCAGCAGGAGATGACGGGATCCCAGCTGAACTGTTTAAAATCTTAAAAGATGATGCTGTCAAGGTGATGCATGCCATATGCCAGCAAATATGGAAAACACAAGAATGGCCATCAGACTGGAAAAAAATCAACTTATATCCCCATACCAAAAAAGGGAAATGCGAAAGACTGCTCAAACTTCCGTACAGTGGCCCTTATTTCTCATGCCAGTAAGGTAATGCTCAAGATCCTGCAAGGAAGACTCCAGCAATACATGGAGCGAGAGTTGCCAGATGTTCAAGCTGGGTGTAGAAAAGGCAGAGGAACGAGAGACCAGATTGCCAATATCCGCTGGATAATGGAGAAAGGCAGGGAGTTTCAGAAAAACATCTACTTCTGCTTCATTGACTATTCTAAAGCCTTTGACTGTGTGGATCATAATAAATTGTGGCAAGTTCTTAGTGGGATGGGCATCCCAAGCCACCTTGTCTCTCTCCTGCGGAATCTGTACAAGGACCAAGTAGCAACAGTCAGAACTGACCACGGAACAACAGACTGGTTCAAGATTGGGAAAGGCGTACGGCAAGGCTGCATCCTCTCACCCAACCTTTTTAACTTGTATGCAGAACACATCATGCGATGTGCGGGGCTGGATGAATGCAAGGCTGGGGTGAAAATTGCTGGAAGAAACATTAACAACCTCAGATATGCAGATGACACCACACTGATGGCCGAAAGCGAGGAGGAGCTGAGGAGCCTTCTAATCAAGGTGAAAGAAGAAAGCGCAAAAGCCGGGTTGCAGCTAAACGTCAAAAAAACCAAGATTATGGCAACAAGAATGATTGACAACTGGAAAATAGAGGGAGAAACCGTGGAGGCCGTGACAGACTTTGTATTTCTAGGTGCAAAGATGACTGCAGATGCAGACTGTGGCCAGGAAATCAGAAGACGCTTCCTTCTTGGGAGGAGAGCAATGTCCAGTCTCGATAAAATAGTGAAGAGTAGAGACATCAGACTGGCAACAAAGATCCGCCTAGTCAAAGCCATGGTATTCCCTGTAGTCACCTACGGATGTGAGAGCTGGACCTTAGGGAAGGCTGAGCGAAGGAAGATCGATGCTTTTGAACTGTGGTGTTGGAGGAAAGTGCTGAGAGTGCCTTGGACTGCGAGAAGATCCAACCAGTCCATCCTCCAGGAAATAAAGCCCGACTGCTCACTGGAGGGAAAGATACAGTACTTTGGCCACATCATGAGGAGACAGGAAAGCCTAGAGAAGACAATTATGCTGGGGAAAGTGGAAGGCAAAAGGAAGAGGGGCCGACCAAGGGCAAGATGGATAGATGGCATCCTTGAAGTGACTGGACTGACCTTGAAGGAGCTGGGGGTGGTGACGGCCGACAGGGAGCTCTGGCGTGGGCTGGTCCATGAGGTCACAAAGAGTCGGAGACGACTGAACGAATGAACAACAACAAATGTAATATTATTATTATTATTATTATTATTATTATTATTATTATTATTATTATTATCTGCAGTGTAGATGCACCCTAAGTCTCCCGTACTGCTGTTCTTTATTATAATATTATATTAATATTATTCTAATATAATATTATTATAGTGTATTGTTGTTGTTGTTGTTGTTATCTGCAGTGTAGATGCACCCTAAGTCTCCCGTACTGCTGTTCTTTATTATAATATTATATTAATATTATTCTAATATAATATTATTATAGTGTATTATTGTTATTATTATTATTATTATTATTATTATTATTATTATTATTATTATTATCTTTAGTGTAGATGCACACTAAGTCTCCTGTACTGCTGTTCTTTATTATAATAATATTATAATATTATTGTAATATTGTAATATTATTATAGTGTATTATTGTTGTTGTTATCTGCAGTGTAGATGCACCCTAAGTCTCCCGTACTGCTGTTCTTTCCCTCGTGCAGTTCTCCCTGTTCTTTTTGCCATAGGACCCCATTGCGGACGCAGGCTCTGGATCTTGCGCCATTTCAAGCTGGCATTGGATTAACTTAATGCAGGAAAGTCACGGAAGATGCAACTTGCAGCGGGATGATTCAGGTAGAGGTTTTCCATGCTTCCCACCATCAAGTACCCTTATTTATTTGTTGTTGGGAAATGGCTGTTCAGAACCATTTGGGAAAACCAGGAATTTCCACAGGCTTTTGGAAGCGTGACCCTTTTGGAGATGAATTGGCATTCATAGTATTTGGAATAATCATAACATTTGGTTATGTTCAAGATCATAACATTTTGTAAAGTATGATCTTCCTGAGAAGAGTTAAAAACCCGCTTGAGTCAACCTTCTCATCAGCGGTATCTATCTACACGTACTCATGCAAGGCAAGGATTATCTGGAAATGTTTATGGCATGTCTTCCCGTGTTGCGTGCCCTTCTATCTCCATGTTGGTTCTCTCCGAAATCCATTGCAACATGTGAATCGCCTAGTTTGAGGCAACTAATTGAATCTCCCTTAAATGTTATGTCTATTTTGCAGGAGATGGCGCACAATTGGCAGCAAGATATAGTTACTCATCTCTCTGCAGTCCAAAGGAAGATTCTTTGAAGCAGGTGGAGCAGGTATGGCAGAAAAGATGTGCCAGAAACAATCTGCTCTCAACTATAATTCTCTCTTTGCCTGAAATCATGTGTTGTGCTCTGGCAGGTGTGTGACCACATGTCCATTCAAACTGTATTTTCCACCAATTTTATACAATAGGGTGCCAGCCAATCATTCCTATTTAACAATGCATTATCTAGCTAACATGTTCTACTTTCAGGTGATCTTTGAAGAGGTGTTTGTGCCTTTTGATGAGCAGGAGTGGGCTCTGCTGGATCCAGACCAGAGGGCCTTGCACAGGGAAGTGATGGAAGAGAATTACGGCATACTGACCTCCCTTGGTAAGGAATCTCTTTGCCTTCCAAAACGGTCCACCAAGGTTATCTCTACACTGAAGAATGAATGCAGATAGACCCCATGGATTAATGCTATGCTATCATGGGAATTGTCGGCACCAGCATTTGTTTTGCAGAGAAAGCTCTGAACCTTATAAAACTACAATCACTATGATTCCATAGAATTGAGCCATGACAGTAAAAGTGGGGTCAAACTGCATTCGTTCTATAGTGTGCACCAAGCATGATCCAACTTTGGTTCTCCAGGTGTTTTAGACTTCAACTCCCACAATTCCTAACAGCCGGTAGGCTGTTAGGAATTGTGGGAGTTGAAGTCCAAAACACCTGGAGGGCCCAAGTTGGCCCATGTTGGTGTACATGCTGCCACGGAGGTAGAAGGGAAAGTAACACACACAACACCCCTGCTAGGTAGGCACGCAAATTCCTCCTCTCACGGCCTCCTCTAGTTGCATAGTGGGACTGATTGTCTCCAAGGCAAGCAGTTAGTTCTGACCCAAAACATTGCAGAGTCTTGATCACAGTTAGCAGGGATTTTATAACATCATAGCCTTTGACCTTGTTTATTAGCTCACCGCTTGAATAAGCACACTTGAGCTCTGGCCTTCATCCAAACTCCTTCGGAGGTTTATTCTTCAGTCGTTCCTACATACAACGATTTACAGGTATCTCTATATACAGGTCTGTTGTCAGTATATAGAGATACTCACAACTATAGGAAGACATGCACACAGTGAGGATGGCGATGGATTACAGATGCAGAGAAATCATGCCAAGATGGATGAGAACAAGCACATGGCAAAGGGGAAGTTCACATTTTTCCCTGAGCTGCTTCCCTAGGATCACATCTTAACCCTTCCGTGGACTATGCTGTGAACACATGTGCATTAGAACTGTATTTTTTTTACACACTGAAGGTATATGTGAAGTATATATCCGTGCTGTAGCACAGCTGGTTAATCACCAACAGCAATAGATCACTGCCAACCGGAAGGTGGAGAATTCGAAACCTGAGTAGAATTGAGTAACCGACTGTTAAGTCTAGCTTACTGTCCACCTAACCAGTTTGAAATCAGCCAAGCGGGGAAGGTATTTTATGACACCATAAAAATGCCATAGATCAAAGAACAAGGAGGAAATACTACAGTGAAAGAGCTCATTGTCATAGCAGATGGAGCGACAGCACTCCCCTGTGGCCATAATTGAGCATAACCATTCGCCGAAGTTGGAAAATGCCAAAATACCTTTATCTGTCTGTCTTGTATGTCTAAAAATGGCACTGAATGTTTGCCATGTATGTGTGCATTGTGATCCGCCGTGAGAGCCGTTCAGCAGTGGAACTCTCTGCCCCGGAGTGTGGTAGAGGCTCCTTCTTTGGAAGCTTTTAAACAGAGGCTGGATGGCCATCTGTCAGGGGTGATTTGAATGCAATATTTCTGCTTCTTGGCAGGGGGTTGGTCTGGATGGCCCATGAGGTCTCTTCCAACTCTTTGATTCTACGTGAGTCCCCTTTGAGGTGAGAAGGATGGAATATAAATACTGTAAACAAATTAATAAATATGCAATGCATTGCTATGTAATACCCTATAAGGTCCCAGCCTATACAATCCCGGCCCAGCTTACCTGTCCAAATGTATCTCCCTCTACGTCCCTCCTCGGAATCTAAGCTCATCCGGAGAAGGTCCTGCTCTTGATCCCACCATCTTCACAAACGCGTTTGGTGGGGATGAGAGACAGGGCCTTCTCGGTGTTGGCCCCCCACCTGTGGAATGCGCTCCACAGCGAAATTAGGTCAGCACCACCTCTCCTCTCCTTTAGGAAAAAGCTCAAAACATGGTTTTGGGACCAGGCTTTTGGGCAGCAGGTTTGATAGTAATTGCAATGTTTTTGAGATTTGACTGTGGACATGCATTGGACTGGGTCGTTGGTTGTTGAATCAAACTTGGATATGACAATATGATTAATAATAATGTTTTAAGATGGTTTTTAACCTAATGTTTTTATCTACTGTGTGATGTTGTATTGTAATGTGTTTTGTATGTTGCCGGCATCAAATCGCTGCCGTTGTAGGCTGCCCTAAGTCCCCCCTTGGGAGTCGAGAAGGACGGGGAACACATGTTTGAAATAAATCTATATAAATATAATATAGATTCATTTGTGGGATTAACAGAACTCAAAAACCACTGGACGAATTGACACCAAATTTGGACACAAGACACTTAACAACCCAATGTATGTCCTTCAATCAAAAAATTGATTTTGTCATTTCTGAGTTGTAGTTGCTGGGATTTATAGTTCACCTACAATCAAAGAACATTCTGAAGCCCACCAACGATGGAATTGAGCCAAACTTGGCACACAGTTCTCCCATGACCAACAGAAAATACTATAAGGGTTTGGTGGGCAATGTCCTTTGGTTTTGGAGTTGTAGTTCACCTACATCCAGAGATCACTGTGGACTCAAACAATGATGGATCTGGACCAAACTCTACACGAATACTCAATATGCCCAAATGTTAACACTGGTGGAGTTTGGGGAAAATAGACCTTGACATTTGGGAGTTGTAGTTGCTGGGATTTGTAGTTCACCTACAACCAGAGCATTCTGAACCCCACCAACGATAGAATTGGGCCAAACCTCCCACACAGAACCTCCATGACCACCAGAGTGGGCCACAGCAATGCGTGGCAGGGGATGGCTAGTAAATAAATAAAACAGCATTTTTCTACCTGACAGATTCACAATAAGATGTTATTCTTTATTTGTTCAGGGAAGAAGCCAAACCATTTCCCGGGGAACCTCAGTCAAGAGCCAACCAGAAACATGCATCGGATTGTTCCGCAAGAAAAGGAAACATATCAAAGGCTGGAGCGTAGGGAGAGCTTCAGTCGCGACGGCACAGCCTTGGAGGCTAACCAGGCGGAGAAGCTGTGCCATTTCCTGCAAAATGGGAAAGTGTTCACCTGCCAGGAGTGTGGCAAAGTCTTCGATTGCAAGTCCAACCTTGTTACCCACCAACGCATCCACGCGGAAGAGAGGCCCTACAGTTGCAAGGAGTGTGGCAAGGATTTCACCTACTCCTACGCCCTGGTAGTGCACAAGAGGACCCACACGGGGGAGAAGCCGTACCAGTGCTGGGAGTGCGAGCGGAGCTTCAACCAGCGGGGAAGCCTGAGGCGGCACCTCTACACCCATACGGGGGAGAGGCCGTTCAAGTGCCTAGAGTGCGGGAAGAACTTCCTGGAGAAGCGGAGCCTGGTGGGGCACCAAGCCAGCCACACCGGGGTCAAGCCGTTCCCCTGTGGCATCTGCGGGAAGGGATACCGCTACGCCGCTACCCTCGCGTCCCACCAGGCAAGAGAACATGCGGAAAACGAGAAGGGCTCGGACACCCCAGCGGCCTTGGACAAAGCACACCTCAACCAGCATTGAAATATTCCCATTGGGAGGAATATATATATATACTCAGCCCTCCTCTGCATTTGCTGACATTTGTGGGGCAAGTGGGCTTTTTAAGAAGAGTCCCTCCTCATAAATGCACAGCAGAGTAACTTACCACCAGGAGCGTGATCCAGCACCAGTAGCCAAAAGTGATAGAAAGAACAAAAACACACAGACCAATGTTATCTCTTCCTTTGGAGGCTTTTAATTATAGCAAAATAATATGGTTGCACTATTTACAAGAACAAGGTTTCCATGACACAAATAAAGTTCAATCTTCACACTGTGGAGCTTCTCCTTTTTACAGGGAGGGGTACATTTCTCCTTTGTTGCTAAAGGCTTTAGCTATTACTAATTTCACTCAAAGTCCTTTGCTTAGCTATTGCTAATTTTACCCAAAGCCCCCTTCAATAATAATAATAATAATAATAATAATAATAATAATAATAATAATTCAGGACAATTGAGAAGGGAAAAGAGCCATTTTCAGTCAGTCTCAGCAAGGAAAGTCAATGTACAGGACGTGTACAGACTTCTCCTGTACAAAGGCTTCAACCCTTAAGACCTCCCGGGGGAGAACAGTCTTAAGAGCAAAAGGATTCCCAAAGATTCCCAGGGAAAACAGCCCTAAAGCTCTGAGGAATTTCAGAGGGAAAAACAGCTTTGACCATCTAAGAACTCTAGCTGAAGTGACTACAGGCCTATTGGTAGGTCCACTCGGTGCTTTGAGATGCAGTTCAACCCAGTAGTGGAGCCCACATCAGTTAGGTTTAGGTTCACAGTTAGCCTGGGAGAAGTTTGGAAAGGGATTTTCCTTTAGAGTAAAGTAACAGTTAGAAGCCACCAGTTGCACAAAGCCTGGAAGCATTTGTTTAACCTTTTGAAGACAAAAGAAGTTTCTGTTGATTGTTCACCAATAAAAGACTTTGTTATATTTACAAGCCCTCTAGAGACTGTTTATGGTGAAAATCCTTACGAATTTCTCTTCGGTCCCCCTGGCTTCCAGCTGGGCTAAAGTTGCACATCCTGTCTTAGAAGCAATTCATTTCAAGCCCAGCGCGCGACAGAACAATGGGTCATTGGCCCTATGATTGCAAACCAAGGGAAGCCACCTTATTGCAAAATGCATGGAACTTTGGAATACATGCAAACACTCAATAGAAAGGAAAAGAAGTTGGAGCTCCTGGTACAGCCAAACCAGCACAATAATACTAATTGGGGAATCCAAAAGTATTTCAAAACGTACCACATAAGTGACACCTTTGCTTCCTGATGGTTCAATGCACACAAACTATGTTTGATGGGATTTGTAGTTTGGAGGGGGGCAGGGAAGGCTTGGGACCTTGCAAAACTACAACTCCTATTATCCCATTGGGTTTCAGTAAGGCCTTCAACAAGATCCCCCATGACCTTCTGGCAAGGAAACTAGTCCAATGTGGGCTAGGCAAAACTACGGTGAGGTGGATCAGGAATTGGTTAAATGGACGAACCCAGAGGGTGATTCTCCCCAAGACTTCCTCTTCATCCTGGAAAGAAGTGACGAGTGGAGTGCCATCCGCAGGGTTCCGTCCTGGGCCCGGTCCTGTTCAACATCTTTATTAATGACTTAGATGAAGGCTTAGAAGGCAGGATCATCAAGTTTGCAGATGACACCAAACTGGGGAGGGATAGCCAATACTCCAGAGGACAGGAGCAGGATTCAAAACGATCTTGACAGATTAGAGAGATGGGCCAAAACTAACAAAATGAAGTTCAACAGTGACAAATGCAAGATACTCCACTTTGGCAGGAAAAACGAAATGCAAAGATGCAGAATGGGGGACAATGCCTGGCTCGAGAGCAGTACGTGGGAAAAGGATCTTGGAGTCCTCGTGGACAACAAGTTAAACATGAGCCAACAATGTGATGTGGTGGCAAAAAAAGCCAATGGGATTTTGGCCTGCATCAAGAGGAGCATAGTGTCTAGGTCCAGGGAAGTCATGCTCCCCATGCTCTATTCTGCTTTGGTTAGACCACACCTGGAATATTGTGTCCAATTCTGGGCACCACAATTCAAGAGAGATATTGACAAGCTGGAATGTGTCCAGAGGGCGACTAAAATGATAAAAGGTCTGGAGAACAAGCCCTATGAGGAGCGGCTTAAGAAGCTGGGCATGTTTAGGCTGAGAGGGAGCTATGATAGCCATGTATAAATATGTGAGAGGAAGCCACAGGGAGGAGGGAGCAAGCTTGTTTTCTGCTTCCTTGGAGACTAGGACGCGATGGAACAATGGCTTCAAACTACAAGAGAGGAGATTCCATCTGAACATGAGGAAGAACTTCCTGACTGTGAGAACCGTTCAGCAGTGGAACTCTCTGCCCCGAAGCGTGGCGGAGGCGCCTTCTTTGGAAGCTTTTAAACAGAGGCTGGATGGCCATCTGTCAGGGGTGGTTTGAGTGCAATATTCCTGCTTCTTGGCAGAATGGGGTTGGACTGGATGGCCCAGGAGGTCTCTTCCAACTCTTTGATTCTATGATTGCATTGAGCTATGGCAGTGAAAGTGGCATCCCATTGCATCCACCCTGCAGAGAGAGAAGGCTCATGCATTCTCATTCCTAGATCCCTAGAATGCAGACTAGAGGAGCATAGGCTCCGCCCCCTTGTGTCATGTGACATGACTTCAAGGAGTCAAACCCGGAAATTGATGCTCAGAAGGGAGGAGAGCAGAGACTGGCAAGGAAGAGGCTGGAGGTGCTTTGGATACCAAGCTTTCAAAAAAAGGCTGCAAGAAGAGTCTTTGCAGAAAGAGATGGTGAGTCTCCTGAGCTGCCCTTGGGGATGTTTTCCTACTTTTGCAAGCATACTAATAATGTGGATTTTTGGGGTGGGAGGCAAAGTAGAGCAGAAAGACCTGAGATGCATCTGCACTACAGAGTTAATTCAGTTTGATGCCACTTTAACTGCCATGGTGCATTGCTATAGAATCCTGGGATTTGTACTTAATCTCTCAGCCATGATGCTGTTTGTAAAATGTGTATTGTGGTTGTAATGGTTTTTTCCCCCTGATGTTTGCTATTGATTTTAGTTGTTTCTATGTATTTTGTGTGTGTCTGGAGAACAAGCCCTATGAAGAGCGGCTTAAGGAGCTGGGCATGTATTTTCGGGCTTGTCCCTTGTAAGCTGCCCAAGTCCCCCCGGGGAGAGGGTGGCGGGGTATAAAAATAAAGTTATTATTATTATTATTATGAGGGTTGAATGAAAAGTAATGCCTCCACCTTCGTAACTCCTCAACAGATGGCAGTACTGGTATGCGGCAGGGACTGGCTTATTCAGTAGACTCTCCTCTACAGTTCCATTCTGGTGGGAAGCCTTAGCATTGAACGATTGTGTTGTTAAAAGTGTGAAGTATGGAACCCTTCAGAGATGGATGGTCAATGCGACTTAAGAATCATAGAATCAGCTTAATGGTGGAACATTAGAAAATGTTGACCATTTCCGCTCCCTTGGCAGCCACCTCTCCACCAAAGTCAACATCGACACCGAAATACACCACTACCTGAGCTCTGCGAGTGCAGCATTTTTCCAAATGAAGCAGAGAGTGTTTGAGGACCAGGACATCTGTAGGGATACAAAGGTGCTTGTTTATAAAGCTATTGTCCTCCCAACCCTGCTATGTGCTTGCGAAACATGGACTGTCTACAGACGTCACATGCAACTCCTGGAACGAGTCCATCAGTGTTGCCTCCTTAAAATCCTGCAAATCTCTTGGGAAAACAAGCGGACAAATGTCAGCGTGCTGGAAGAAGCAAAGACCACCAGCATTAAACGATGGTCCTCCGCCATCAACTCCACTGGACCAGCCACATTGTCCAGATGCCCGACCACTGTCTCCCAAAGCAGTTGCTCTACTCCGAACTCAAGAACAGAAAACAGAATGTTGGTGGACAGGAAAAGAGATTCAAAGATGAGCTCAAAGCCAACCTTAAGAACTCTGGCATAGACAAGGGTCTGGAGAACAAGCCCTATGAGGAGAGGCTTAAGGAGCTGGGCATGTTTAGCCTGAAGAAGAGAAGGCTGAGAGGCGATATGATAGCCATGTATAAATATGTGAGAGGAAGCCACAGGGAGGAGGGAGCAAACTTGTTTTCTGCTTCCCTGGAGACTAGGACGCGGAACAGTGGCTTCAAACTGCAAGAAAGGAGATTCCATCTGAACATGAGGAAGAACTTCCTGATTGCGAGGGCTGTTCAGCAGTGGAACTCTCTGCCCCAGAGTGTGGTGGAGGCTCCTTCTTTGGAAGCTTTTAAACAGAGGCTGGATGGCCATCTGTCAGGGGTGATTTGAATGCAATATTCCTGCTTCTTGGCAGGGGGTTGAACTGGATAGCACATGAGGTCTCTTCCAACTCTTTGATTCTATGATTCTATGAGAACTGGGAAGCCTTGGCCTGTGAGCACTCCAGCTGGAGATCAGCTGTGACCAGCAGTGCTGCAGAATTTGAAGAGGCACGAATGGAGGGTGAAAGAGAGAAATGTGCCATGAGGAATACGTGTCAAGCCAACCCCAACCGAGACCGCCTTCCACCTGGAATCCAATGCCCTCACTACGGGAGAAGATGCGGATCAAGAATAGGGCTCCACAGCCACCTACGGACCCACCCTGGAAGATCATCCTACTCGGACAATGAGGGATCACCTAAGTAAGTGACTCTTCTACAGGGAAAAGAACCAGTGAAAATATAAAATTTGCCTAGAAATCTTTGGCCTATTTCTCAAGAGTCAATACTGCTTGATTCATAGATCTTCTCTTTGGAATTCCAGGAGCAGGTGGACACACTGCCTTGTGCTGATTTTCCTTCACCATCACATCATCTAATGGAGGAAGAAGGATTCCCATCAGTGCCTTTGGGACCTGGACAAGATTCGCCTGGCACTGTGGCAAAAAGAGGCCTGGTTACCATTCAGGAGGGGGAATTCTGGAGGAAACACACATGGAAACTCCACGGGGAGGAGATGCTGAGCTTGGACATCCAACAGCAGAGCTTCAGGCAGCTCCGCTATGACGTGGGCAGCAATCCTCGAGAGGTTTGTAGCCGCCTCCACTCTCTCTGCCGCCTGTGGCTGAAGCCCGAGCAACACTCCAAAGCGGAGATGCTGGACCTGGTGATCCTGGAGCAGTTCCTGGCCGTCCTTCCTGCCGAGATGGAGCACTGGGTGAGGGAATGTGGGGCAGAGACCAGCTCCCAGGCCGTGGCCTTGGCTGAAGGATTCCTCCTGAGTCGGGCAGAAGAGGAGAAGGTGCTTCAGGAAGAAGAGCAACAGGTGAGATCACTTAATACTTGTCATTGCAAGATGGTTGGTCACATCTATCCAAAGAAGGTCTTGAGAAGTTGTGAAATGTTGCATCTTTTGTGACTATGAGGCATTTTTAGCTGTCTTTCTCTGAGAAATCACTACCAACATTGTGAATTTTGAGGTTCTGGGGTCATGGGCCAACAAAGTGTGCCCCTGCACCTCTTGCGGGTCACTCTCCTCCCTTGTAATATAATAATTCCTTCTCTAGTTCCTCTTTCCCACCCATCCTCTCATCTCTCCGGTTGCTCTTTCTGGTGCAGGACCTCTCCGTCAAAGAGGACAGGAACACTCCAAAGACAGGAAATGCTCCACTTGATGCCCATCAGAAGTCATTGACCGGATGGAACAAGCAAGAGAGCAATAAAAGAATTGCCTCAGAGGGTAAAAATTTATGATGCCTTTGGAAAGTTTTGTTTCCAGTTTCTTAGCTTATGCCAGGCAAGGTATTTTGGAAGTCAATTCCCACAACCCTATACGGTTCTGGCCCAGTGTTCCTGTCCAATTGTATCTCCTTCTACGTCCCACTTCGAAGTTTAAGATCTTCTGGGGAGCTCCTGCTCTTGACCCCACCTCTGTCACAGACACGCTTGTTGTTGACAAGGGACAGGGCCTTCTCGGTGGTGGTCCCCCGCCTGCGAGGAAGGTGGGATCGAGATCAGGGCCTCCCCAGACATCTTAAATTCCTGGATGGTTCATAAGGAGAGATACGTTCGGACAGGTAAGCTGGGCCGGAACCGTTTAGGGCTTTATACTTTGAATTGTGCTTGGTAGCAAACTGGGAGCCAGTACAACTGGTGTAATAGTGGAGTTGTATGCTCCCTGAGCGCTGCTGCCGTTAGTAACCTGGCTGCCGCTCACTGGACTATTTAGAGCTTCCGAACAGTCTTCAAAGGCAGCCCCATGTAGAGTGCATTGTTGTTGTTGTTGTTGTTATTCCTGGTTTAAATCATAACCTCCTTTAGGAACCATCTTGGCTTAACAAAGTGTTTTTACTAACCTTTTTTATCCTATGTCTTCTAGAAAATGACCCACAGATATGTCCGTCTTTGTCACCTGCTTCTGATGCACCGGAAGCACTTTATGTGAAACTGGGACAGGTATGCAATAGAAACAGTCTGGGATGAGCCTGCCATCTTCTTATCATGTCCCCTCTCAGCCTTCTCTTCTTCAGGCTAAACATGCCTAGCTCTTTAAGCCGCTCCTCATAGGACTTGTTCTCCAGACCCTTTCAGATGTGGTTTAGTAACTTCTAGCTATTTGTCTCTTTCTTTTCCAGGTGGCCTTTGAGGAGGTGGCTGTGTCTTTCACCGAGGAGGAGTGGGCCCTGCTGGATCTGGGCCAAAGGGCTCTGCACAAGGAGGTCATGGAGGAGAATTATGGGATGGTGTTCTCTCTTGGTAAGAAGCCACAAATGCTTTCGATTGATAAACTGCCCTGAGTTGCCCTCGGGCTGAGAATGACAGTATATAAATATAGTAAATAAATATATAAATAAATATAAATATATAAATAAATTAGAAAAAAGTAATTTCAGTCTGTTTGCATTTTAAAAAATTATTTCACTTTATTTCGTTATCATGTCAGAAGCGAATTGAGGGCACAGTTGTAATGTATTTAGAAATACAAACAAAGTTAAAAACTTGGCATTGTACTAAATGTCCTTTGACCAATAGCTGGCCACTTGGAGTGACTCTGGTGTCAATGCAAGAAGGTCCTCCATTGTGCATGTGGCAGGGCTCAGGCTGCATCATAATAGGTGGTCTGTCATTTGCTCTTCTCCACACTCACATGTCGTGGATTCCACTTTGTAGCCCCATTTCTGAAGGTTGGCTCTGCATCTCGTGGTGCCAGAGCGCAGTCTGTTCAGTGCCAAGTCGTCCAGTTTTCTGTGTGCCCGGGGGGAGTCTCTCATTTGGTATTAGCCATGGATTGAGGTTCTGGGTTTGAGCCTGCCACTTTTGGACTTTCGCTTGCTGAGGTGTTCCAGCGAGTGTCTCTGTAGATCTTAGAAAACTATTTCTTGATTTAGGATGTTAGAAAACTATTTCTTGATAGATTTGAATGTTTAATTGTTTTTATAATTTGTTTTAATTTGCATTTTACATTATTTATTTATTTATTTAGAACTTTTCTATACCGGTCTTCTCACCTCCAACGAGGGACTCAGGCCGGTTTACAACAAGGGATTCATACACAATGATTTAAAAACATCACATCAATAATACACTAATATAAACACATTAAAGTACTATCATATAATTATATAAAGTACAGTCGTTAGCATAAAAATCACTATTCATCCCCATCCATGCATGTGGTCAAAAGCCATTGCCTCACTCATCAAATGCCAGATGCCAAAGCCAGGTTTTCACCAACTTTCTAAAGGTCAGGAGGGAAGGGGCAGTTCTAATCTCCAATGGGAGGGAGTTCCAGAGCTGAGGGGCCACCACTGAGAAGGCCCTGTCCCTCGTCCCCACCAAACGCGATTGTGAAGATGGTGGGACCGAGAGCAGGGCCCCTCCAGAAGATCTTAACAACCTTGATGGTTCATAGGGGAAAATCCGTTCGGACAGGTAAAGTGGGCCGGAGTGGTTTAGGGATTTATAGGTCAGCACCAGCACTTTGAATTGTGCTCGGAAGCTAATTGGCAGCCAGTGGAGCTGGCGCAACAGAGGAGTAGTATGCTCCCTGTACCCCGCTCCTGTTCGCAATCTGGCTGCCGCTCGTTGGACTACTTGGAGCTTCCGGGCAGTCTTCAGAGGCAACCCCACGTAGAGAGCATTGCAGTAGTCTATATGGGATGTAACCAGAGCGTGGACCACGCTTAAGTTGTGGAGGCATCAAATTGTTGCCAGTTGTGAACCACCCTGAGTCACCTTTGGGCTGAGAGGGGAGGTATATAAGTGTAGTAAACAAACAAATAAATAAATCTGAAATATATACAGAAAGTCTTTACTTTGCCAGAGTGGCATCTCTTACTAATTGTGTTTCTTCTTTTGAGATGGTGATAAACTGGAGAGAAAGGATGAAGAAGCCCCACCCGAAGAGTGGTCGGAAAGAAGTAGATCTAAAAAGGGGAACGAAGGGACCCCAGTAACGGAAACAAGAGAGGCAAAGGAGAGCCCACCCCCTTCTTTACAACGAGGCAACATTTGGGAAATCCTTTTCGAAGATGAAATAGGGGAAAGCGAGGAGAGCAGGTGGTGTTTCCGGCGCGGGGAGTACTTCCACTGGAGACCAGGCCTGGATGTGGTAGATCATCCAGGGAAGAAAACCCATAAATGGCAGTGGGGTGAGAGCTTCAAATGGACACCACACTTTCAGAAGGGTACGAAACCGTATACCTGCTTGGAGTGTGGGAAAGGCTTTGGTCGGAGCGGGTCCCTCAAGAGACACCAAATCATCCACACGGGAGAGAGGCCCTTCGCCTGCCTGGAGTGCGGGAAAGGCTTCAACCAGCACGGAGCCCTCAAGCGGCACCAGATCATCCACAAAGAGGAGAAGCCCCACACGTGCCTGGACTGTGGGAAAGGCTTCGTTGAGAAGCGCAATCTCATTGCTCACCAGCAGCACCACGCGGGGGACGGATGCCAGGGGTTTGGAAACCAGAGCAGCCCCAACGCCGTCTTCCGGACGTACCAGGATGCCCCGGCGGGAGAGAAACCCTACGCCTGCCTGGAGTGTGGGAAGAGCTTCAGCTGGCAGTCCCACCTCGTCCGGCACCAAATCATCCACACTGGAGAGAAACCCTTCAAGTGCCCGATTTGTGACAAAAGGTTCGGCCAGAGATCGAAGCTGAATAAACACCACGCAACGCACACGGGGGAGAAACCCTATAAATGTGCAGAGTGTGGGAAAAGCTACAGCGAGAAGAGGAGCTTTATTGCCCATCAGATGGGTCACACCAGGCATCAATGCTTGGAAGTCAGAACGAGTTACATTCAGGGACCAGGCACAGGATTATTTCCACAGGGGAAGAACAACCTATGAGTGGGAAGCTGAGTGGAAAAAGGAAGGAGCTTGAGGCTGTTAGGAATTGTGGGAGTTGAAGTCTAAAACACCTGGAGGGCCAAAGTTTATCCAGGCCTGTTCTATCAACATCTGTTATAGAACTCCAATATGCTGATGATAATGTAGTCTATGCCCATTCAGAGGAAGACCAACAAGCCACTCTAAAAACCTTTGCAGAAGCATATGAGAAGCTCAGCCTCTCATAGAACATTGAGAAAACCAAAATGGTATTTCATTAGGTACCAGCCAATTTCATTAGGCACCAGCCAAGTCCAAAACACCCAGAGGGCCGAAGTTTTCCACTCTAGGCAGTTAAATGCTTTGTGAATTGATTCTGCCATTTGAAATGACTGATGACAAGAGACACACAGCTTAAGCGGCTGAGGGGGAAAAGGAAGGGGTCTGAGGCTGTTAGGAATTGTGGGAGTTGAAATCTAAAACACCTGGAGAGCCGAAGTTTGCCCATACCTGGATTATATGGTGCGGTTGTTCGCCTGTAGTGTCTTTCTTTGGGGTTTGAGGTTGCATTGTGTATGGGTTGCTGTGAGGTTTTTGGGGCTGTCTGGCCATGTTCCAGCAGCATTCTCTCCTGACATTTCGCCTGCATCTGTGCCTGGTATCTTCAGAGGTTCTGTTGTCAGTGAGGCAAGTGGAGTGCATATATACCTGTGAAATGTCCAGGGCATGTTAGGAGAGAGTGCTGCTGGAATAGGGCCATACAACCTGGAAAACCCACAGCAACCCAATGATTCTAGCCATCAAAGCCTTCGCGACAATACGCTGCACATGTTTTGCTCTAGAACACATCAGCAAAAATGTGTAATCTTGATGTTCTAGAACAGAGCTTTATATTGATGGCACACTTTCAAGGTGTGCATCATTTTACAACACAGTCATTCAGTTTTACTCGGGGCTGCGGTGGCGCAATGGGTTAAACCGCTGAGCTGCTGAGCTTGCTAACCTGAAGGTTGGCAGTTCAAAGCCATAAGACGGGGTGAGCTCCCACAGTGGCGCAATGGATTCAACTGTTAAGCTGTTGAGCTTGCTAACCTGAGAGTTGGTAGTTTGAATCCCTCAGATGGGGTGAGCTCCCGCTGTTTAGCCCCAGCTCCTGCCAACCTAGCAGTTCAAAAACATGCAAATGTGAGTAGATCAATAGGTACTGCCTCAGCAGGAAGGTAAAAGGGTGCCCCATTAAGTCATGCTGGCTACGTGACCAGGAGGTGTCTATGGACAATGCAGGCTCCTCAGCTTGGAAATGGAGGTGAGCACCTCCCCCAGAGACAGAGATAAGTACCACCTCCAAAGCCGGAGATGAAAGGGGAAGACTTTGCTTTTGTCTGTGTATTTGTGTTTCAGAAGCGTTGAATGTTTGCCTGTGTTTGTATATATGCTGGAATCCACTTGAGTACAAATACAAATAAAGTGTTATTGTTGTTGTTGTTGTTGTTATTATTTGAAACACAACAAGATGAGTCCACAGCAGACAAGATCACTCTGCTGGCTGTTGCATTGGATCACACGTCCGACACTTCCCAAGTGTCTAGAACTGTGTGATGTATCGGCGAACAATGCGTGAAGATCCCAATAAGATCCCATCTGCAGCTGGCAGATGGAAATCCTGTCAGCTCCGATTGTGTTTAAGTACAGCACAAGGTCTTGAGGCACTGCACCCAGTGTGCCAATCACCACTGGGACCATCTTGACTGGCTTGTGCCAGAGCCTTTGCAGTTCGATCTTTAAATCCTCGTATCGTGTCAGCTTTTCCAGTTGTTTCTCTGCAATCCTGCTGTCGCCTGGGATTGCGACATCGACAATCCATACTTAGTTTTTTAACACGATCGTGAGGTCAGGAGTGTTGTGCTCCAAAACTCTGTCTCTCTGAATTCAGAAGTCCCAGAGTAGCTTGATGTGTTCATTCTTTGTAACTTTTTCCAGCTTGTGATCCCACTCGTTCTTTGTCGCAGGCAGATGGTCTTTGTGGCACAAGTTCCAATGAATCATCTCAGCAAAGGTGTTGTGCCTCTGCTTGTAGACTGTCTGCGCGATCTTCTTGCAGCAGCTGTGATCTATTGTTTCATCTGCTTCCTTGCAGAGTCTACATTTGGGATCTGTTGTTGACTTTTCAATTCTGGCTTTGATAGCATTGGTTCTAATGGCTTGTTGTTGTTGTTATACTTTATTTGTACCCCGTTACCATCTCCTCAAGGGATGCGGTCACGCAGGTAGGCGGGTCCCAAACCATTTAAACACTATGCTCCTATTGATGCAGGCCAAAATCCCATTGGCTTTTTTTGCCGTCTGTTCTGTCGCCGCTGGAGCCGAAGTGAGGTGCTTTTAAGAGAGGATGTTAGGCTTGCATCCAGCAGGAAGCCAGGGGGCCTGAAAAGAAGCCTTTAGGAAAATTCCCCTTATTAAGCAGACTTTATTAGGCTTGAGCTTAAGTATAACATTAATGAACAAACAGGCTTAACAGTCTATTAGCTTTTGCAATCTTGTTTACAGGAAACAGGCACTATCTTCAGAAACTTTGCTCAAAAGAAAATTCCCCTTTTTAGCTCCTCCCAGGCTGCTGTGAACCTAAACCTGACTGATTTGAGTCCACTTCCGGCTGAACTGCATCTCAGAACCTAGCAGACGTACCAACAGGCCTGTAGTCACTTAGCTGGTTGATGAGCAGAGCTGTTATTCCCTCCGGAAGTCCTCAGGGCTGTAAAGCTGTTTCCCTGGAACCCTTTGGGAATCTGTAGAGGCTCTTAAAACTGTTCTCCCCCAGGAAGTCTTAAGAGACGAAGCCTTTGCACAGGAGGACGTTTGTGTACATCCTCTGCATTGACTTCCTTTTTGAGACTAATTGAAAAATGGCCCTTTCCCTCCAAAAAATCCAGAGAGGGGCAGGACCAGGGAACCTAACTATTATTGACAGGTGGCTTGTCCTATGAATGCAGACTATAAGAGGAAGCCACCCTGCTGCAAAATCCCAAGCCTGGAATTGCAAACCAACATTAAATTCAAAGAAATAAAATTGGAGCTCCTGGAACAGCTGTTCATCTTCCTGTCCAGGAGGACTCCAAGATCTTTTTCACACGTACTGCTCTCGAGCCAGGCATTGTCCCCCATTCTGTCTCTTTACATTTCATTTTTTTCTGCCTAAGTGGAGCATCTTGCATTTGTCACTGTTGAACTTCATTTTGTTAGTTTTAGCCGACCATCTCTTGGGTCCTCCAGGTGTTTTGGACTACAACTCCCACAATTCCTAACAACCGGTAGGAATTTGAGTATTTTTAAACGGTCTTGCTGCCAAAAAAAAAAACTTAATGAAGTTATAATGCATGATCATTCATTCAGTAACACCAATACAAAAATAGTTGTGGCAGCAGGCTTTATCTCAGCATCTGCTGCAGTGCTGAATGGACAGCCCTTGCTTTGGAGAGTCAAGCAGGTGCAATGCTGCAGCCTGGCTCAGAGGGCTTGGTCTTCCAAAGGGTTAAGGCCAAAGAGGCGCCTCTTCCTAGAGAGAACGCAGAGAGGGGGGCGAGAGAGAAAGGTGCCTTTCCCAGGCCACGGCACTTCCGCTTCCGGCGAGAGGCCTTCAGGAGGAAGGGGAGAGGCCCTTTTGGCTTTGGAGGGGATTCCTTTCCTCTCCAGGGAATCTGGTGAGCCGGGATCTATTGTTGTGGGCTCTACTAAGCTGCAGGGAGAGGGAGGGGTGAGGGAGAGGCCTCCTCCCCAGTGGATCCCAGCCAGGGACTGGGAGAGAGGCCTGCTTCTATGGGGCCTCCATTGGGCCTTCCTCTCCCGCATTGCTTTCATGTTTATAGGCTTTCAATTGTAATTTGTAGTGCTTTTATAAAGCTATACCCTGCCTTAAGCCATGAGAGGTGGGTAACAAATAAAACAGAACAACAACAACAATAATAATGTTGCCAATAATAATGGCTGGCTGGCCATGTTCTGGTAGCATTCTCTCCTGACGTTTCGCCTGCATCTGTGGCTAATGGCATCATCAGAGGTCTGTTAGAAGCGAGGGAGGCGGAGTGTGTGTGTGTGTGTGTGTGTGTTTCAGGGCTGTCTGTCTGTATTCTGGTAGCATTCTCTCCTGACGTTTCACCTGCATCTGTGGCTAATGGCATCATCAGAGGCCTGTTAGAAGCGAGGCAAGTGGAGTGTGTGTGTGTGTTTGTGTATATATCTGCGTGTGCGTGTCCTGATTTGCTGCCGTATTAGTCTGTTTCTGCAGTAGGCCTATGCTTACAGAAAATGCTGATTTTTTTTTGAGAAAACAGTGCTCCAGAGAAGAAGTTACTTTTCAAGGATAACAGTACACCCGGACAAAACCGGCTAATACAATGTTATGGTTGCTGATAGTGTCTAGATCTAAGGAAGTCATGCTACCCCTCTATTCTGCTTTGGTTAGACCACACCTGGAATATTGTGTCCAATTCTGGGCACCACAATTCAAGAGAGATATTGACAAGCTGGAATGTGTCCAGAGGAGGTGACTAAAATGATCAAGGGTCTGGAGAACAAAGCCCTATGAGGAGCGGCTTAAGGAGCTGGCATGTTTAGCCTGAAGAAGAGAAGGCTGAGAGGAGATATGATAGCCATGTATAAATATGTGAGAGGAAGCCACAGGGAGGAGGGAGCAAGCTTGTTTTCTGCTTCCTTGGAGACTAGGAGGCGGAACAATGGCTTCAAACTACAAGAGAGGAGATTCCATCTGAACATGAGGAAGAACTTCCTGACTGTGAGAGCCGTTCAGCAGTGGAACTCTCTGCTCCGGAGTGTGGTGGAGGCTCCTTCTTTGGAAGCTTTTAAACAGAGGCTGGATGGCCATCTGTCAGGGGTGATTTGAATGCAATATTCCTGCTTCTTGGCAGGGGGTTGGACTGGATGGCCCATGAGGTCTCTTCCAACTCTTTGATTCTATGATTCTATGATGACACGATAAATAAATATCGGCTAGCTAGTGGCTAGTGAGAACCCTCAAGTTTCTCAGTCACTTTGGAGTGATGTTTGTAACAGACTAACAGATAAGCTTGATTCATTAAGATAGTCGTGGTCGGACAACAATGGTTATGCTATAGTTGTGTCATTGTTAGGGTGGGTGCTAGAAACAATATCATACGAAAGCTGACTGGCACAACCTGGGGATCACAACCAGACACAGTGAAGACACCTGCCCTTGCGCTATGCTACTATGCTGCTGAGTATGCATGCCCAGTGTGGAACACATCTCATGGGGATCACAACCAGACACAGTGAAGACACCTGCCCTTGCGCTATGCTACTCTGCTGCTGAGTATGCATGCCCAGTGTGGAACACATCTCATGGGGATCACAACCAGACACAGTGAAGACACCTGCCCTTGAGCTATGCTACTCTGCTGCTGAGTACACATGCCCAGTGTGGAACTCATCTCATGGGGATCACAACCAGACACAGTGAAGACACCTGCCCTTGCGCTATGCTACTCTGCTACTGAGTATGCATGCCCAGTGTGGAACACATTTCATGGGGATCACAACCATACACAGTGAAGACACCTGCCCTTGCGCTATGCTACTCTGCTGCTGAGTATGCATGCCTGGTGTGGAACACATCTCACCACACTACAACAGTGGATGTGGCTCTTAATGAGACATGCGGCATTATCATGGGTATTGTCTGCACCCTACACCACTAGAGAAATTACACTGTTTAGCCGGTATTGCACCACCTCACATCCACCGGGAAGTAGCAGCCAATAGTGAAAGGACCAAGGCAGAGACATCTCCAGCTCATCCCCTGTTTGAGTATCAGCCAGCACGTCAACAACTTAAATCAAGAAATAGTTTTCTAAGATCTACAGAGACACTTGCTGGAACTCCCCAGCAAGCGAGAGTCCAAAAGTGGCAGGCTCAACCCAGAACCTCAATCAATGGCTGATACCAAATGAGAGACTTCCCCCTGGGCACACAGAAGACTGGGCGACTTGGAAGGCGCTGAACAGACTGCGCTCTGGCACCACAAGATGCAATCTTAAGAAATGGGGCTACAAAGTGGAATCCACGACATGCGAGTGTGAAGAGCAAACCACTGACCACCTGCTGCAATGCAACCTGAGCCTTGCTACATGCATGATGGAGGACCTCTTTGCGGCAACACCAGAGGCACTCCAAGTGGCCAGATACTGGTCAAAGGACATTTAATCAACTACCAAGCTTGCAAACTTTGTGTTTTGTCTGTTTGTTTGTCTGTTTTGTTAAAAATGTAATACAAATGTCTGGTTGCTCCTGACATGACAAATAAAATAAATAAATAAGTAAATTGTTAGTGTCCCACATATGCTATTATGTCAATCAAAATCACAAGCCACCAATGAGCAACTGTACAACTAGCTTAGACCAATGAAATGATTTGTCTTTTGAAACCAATGAGAATGTGTATTCAATTTACTGCCAGAAATGATAAAAACTCTGCTGCCCCATTTGGGGGTTGCGACAAACCCTTTGATTGCATTCCTGTACGCTTGTTTGTCGATATTGCTAGGCCCGCAATAAAGCCTTTGTAGTAAGACTCCAACTTATGGCTTCCTCCTTGCATGGCTACATTGGGACGTTGAGGGGACTCCTAAGCATGTGTATTTGGAGTATCTTTCAGAATAGCATCGCTAATCCTCCCAGTTCTCTCTGCTTCTTCTTTCAATGCTTAAGATCATACTTGGTGGTGATCAAGGAATACTGGTCAGCAGAACTCCTAACAGTTGCTTTTTCTACCCCTACCCAGCCCCCTTTTCCTCATCCAGCATCCCTACTAAGAAGACTTAGAACACCATTCCTGAATACCAAAGACATTAAATGGAGCAGATCCTGCTTAGCACGGCATGAGCAATCTTGATCTTTGAAGCAATCTTGGAGGAAGTGTTTGGGTGCTTTTCTGAAGAGAAGTAAACCTTGCCACATCTGGACCAGAGCACCCTTCACAAGCGAATCATGGAAGAAGAAGAGGATGTAATGGTGGTCCCTCTCGGTAAGGCTTCCATGTACTTCATAAGGATCAATTTGCAAGTGGGAGAAGATGTTTCCCTTCCTTCGACAGGTGTCTCCCACTTAGCCAACAGCTTAGGGACCAGAGCGCTGTCCAAAACCAATTGTCAAGTATGAGGAACGCTACTCATGTTTTTGTTTTTATTATTTATTTATTTATTTCAGATATTTGTACTCTGCCCTTCTCAACCCCACCCCCCTTGGGGGGACAACTCCAGCCAGCAACAATTTGATGCCTCCAATGTACACATAATAAAATACATAATAAAATCCAATAATTACATACATTTAAAACATTAAATCACACTAACTAATTAAAATCTGTTTCTGTTTCAATAACAGCCTGGTGGCCTTATCTGAGCCGATCTGAGCCGTTGGGCTGGGTGACCCTTGTGGTCTCTTTATGACTGCGTGCTTCATGGTATTATTATTATTATTATTATTATTATTATTATTATTATTATTAATATTAACTTTATTTGTACCCCGCTACCATCTCCCCAAGGGACTCGGTGCGGCTTACATGAGGCCGAGCCCAAACACAACAACAAAAGCAATAAAACATCAATATAAGCAGCTAAAAAGCATAGACAATAAAGTACACAACATTATCAGAAAAGCAACACATAATTAAAACCGTGGGAAGGCCAAATGTAGAGTTAAAATTGGAAATAATGCTGGGCCATCAACGAAAGGTGCTCCTAGTAGTTAGAGATTAGTTAGATTTTAGTTTGACTTTCTTTTAATTCAGTTTCTCTTTTAAACTGGCTGAATTATAAGAGAGTTCTCCATGCATTGAATATTCTGTGCTTTGATTGTGTCTTCCTGCCTGACAGGAGGGAGTTGGGCTGGGTGACCCTTGTGGTCTCTTTATGACTGCGTGCTTCATGGTCTAGCTGGTATAACTAACAGAGACAGACTCAGAGCACAGAGAAAATAGACAAATGCAAGATACTCCACTTAGGCAGAAAACATGAAATGCAAAGATACAGAATGGGGGATGCCTGGCTCGACAGTAATCTGTGTGAAAAAGATGCTGGAGTCCTCGTGGGGAACAAGTTAAACATGAGCCAACCATGTGATGCGGCGGTGAAAAAAGCCAATGGGATTTTGGCCTGCATCAATAGGAGTCTAGTGTCTAGATCCAGGGAAGCCATGCTCCCCATTCTTTATTCTGCCTTGGTTAGACCAAACCTGGAATCACATTGTGTTAAATTCTGGGCAGTGCAGTTTAAGGGAGATGTCTACTCTAAAATGGAATGTGTCCAGAGGAGGATGACTCAAAGGATCAAGGGTCTGGAGAACAAGCCATATGAGGAGTGGCTGAAAGAGCTACGCATGTTTAGGCTGCAGAAGAAAAGGCTGAGAGTATACATGATGAGGGCAATGTATAAATATGTGGGGAGAAGTCATAGGGAGGAGGGAGCAGACCTGTTTTCTGCTGCCCTGGAGACTTAAGACTCAATGGAACTATGATTTCAAACTACAGGAAAGAAAGGAGATTCCACGTAAACATTAGGAAGAACTTCCTGACCTTTAGAGCTATTCAGCAGTGGCACTCTCTCTCTGCCCCAGAGTGTGGTAAAGGGAGGCTTCTCTTTTGGAGGCTTTGAAACAGAGGCTGGATGGCCATCTGTCAGGGGTGCTTTGAATGCAATTTTCCTGCTTCTTGGCAGAATAGGATTGGACTGGATGGCCCACCAGGTCTCTTCCAAATCTAGGATTCTATGATTGTATGATCTCTCCTCCTTTCCAGGTACAGATACTGACCGTCATCTTGACCAAGAAGCAGTGTCGACTTCTCCCACAGGAGCGGAGCTGAGTTCCAGCTCTCTGGATACAGGTTGGTGAAGAGCTTCCCCAATCTCTTAATGCTTGAATAGCCCTGGCGCACGGACCCTGCATTATCCAACTTAAAATCATTGAGTGGTTTGAACAAAAGGAACCACCTCTTTCGGGCCTAGAGCAGAGGGAAAGAAAAGGAACGAAGTGGATTGGATGGTGCTAGGTGAGAGATTGGCTGTGGCTAGGTGAAGTGGCCCTCTGTGATGTCACTGGGAAAGAAAGGGAGGGAAGTGTTTTGGCTGCTGCTAGGTGACGTGTATTTATTTATTTATTTATTTATTTATTTACAGCTTTTATATTCCGCCCTTCTCACCCCGCAGGGGACTCAGGGCGGATTACAGTGTACACATATATGGCAAACATTCAATGCCAATTTTGACATACAACATATACAGACATAGACAGAGGCTATTTTACTTTTTCTGGCCACCAGGGGAGCTGTTGCTTTCATCGTCCATCTGCGACATTGCTGAAGTACTTCCGCATTCCCCACATGCTTTTCGCTAGAGTGCTTGCTGGAGTCTTTTTTTATGACCTCATAAATTAGTTAATTTAGCCTCCCCACACTTTAAGGTGGTACTTAATTTTCCTACTTTACAGATGCACCTGTCTTTCGGGTTGCAAAGGTCGACAACAGGCTACACAATTGGTTGGAAACCCACTCCAACCCAGGCTGGCTTCGAACTCATGACCTTTTGGTCAGAGTGATCTTAATGCAGCTGACACTCAGCCAGCTGCGCCACAATCCCGGTGTATGAGGGGAAGAGAGCAATTTATTAATTGTTTGCCACATTTCTAGGTAAGGAGGAGGGAATTTATAGGTAGAAAGGAGGAAAGAAAGAGAAAAAGAGAGAAGAGAAAGAAAGAATTGGAGTAAGGTGTGTGAGGGAAAGCAAGGAAAGAAGGAAGGAAAGAATAAAAAGAACAAAAACACACAGATCCATAGGATGCTTTTCTTTATAACAAAATAGTATGGTTGTACTATTTACAAGAACAAAGTTTCCATAACACAGATAAAATACTTTATACTTCCTTCTTTGCTTCCACACGAGACTTCTTTCTCATGCAGATAAACAACTTCGCTCTCACAGAGCTTCCTCTCACACGGAAGTTACACAGGAGCTTCACAAAGTAGCTTTGCACACAGCAGCCTTCACATTGGAGCTTCACACATGATGGCCTTCAATCTGGGGCTTCTCTCACAGAAGCTTCTCATACTGAGGCCTACCTCACACTGACTCCTACTAACACTGAGGCCTTTTGTCCCACTGAGGTGTTGTCTCACACTAAAGGGCTCTCTCAGACTGAGGCCTTTTCTCCACTGAGGCAAACTAACACTGCGGCCCTCTCACGCTGAGGTCTGCTAACGCACTGAGGCCCTTCTTCCACAGACTGAGGCTACTAAGCTACAGGCACACCTGCTTAGATTGAACTGCAGCTTTTGCTGAGTTATTGTATCCATTTAACCCTTCCAGTGCTTGACTCACATTTTTGTAATTAAAATACCTACCGTAAAAATCGGCATATTAGACGACTTTCTAAGCCAAGAAAGTCATCTTAAAAGTGGGGGGGTCGTCTTGTGTGCCGGCTATAAGTTCCACCACTTGAGGATGCCGAGAGAGAGGGACGCGAGCAGCCATGAGAGGCCAAAGGGAGCCTGCTGGTCTCGCAGCTCAGCTGGCCAGCCCTCCCGGCAGACCTGCCGATCCTCCTCCTCCTCCCCCCTCGCCATCCCCAAGCAGCGCAGCAGCTGCCGCTCCTCCTCCTCCCCCTCCTCCTCCTGCAGGAAAAAGGGGCAGAAGAGGCTTCCCCCAAGCCTCCCATTCCCAGCCTCTTTCTCCCTCTCCTCTCCTCCCTCAAACAGTGCTACTCAAGGAGAGTCAAAACAAAGGCACCTCCGAGAAAGTCCTGCTGCAGAAACTTCTTCTTTCTCCCCTCTTTGGGGTTTCTTTCCTGTCTCTGTGCTCAGCTCCCTCTGAAAGAACAGCCGCTCCTAAGTTTTAAAAGTTTTAAATAGCCTGCAGAAGGAGGAAGAAAAAGGTCTCTTTCCCCCGTTTGGTTTTGTTTCTGCAGCCAAGAACGAGGCAGCCTTAAAGGGGAAGTCCCAGTGCAAGGGCCATCTATTCTTAAAGGGGAATCCCCCCCCCCAAATAACTGCCACAGATTCAGTGCCATGGAATCACAGGAGTTGTAGTTTTACAAGGTCCTTAGCCTTCCCTGTTTAAGAGAGCCAGTACCATACCAAACTACAAGTCCCAGTTTTCTATCAGATTGTTTTGAATTTCAACTCTCACAATTCCTAACAGCTAGTGGCTGGGTTGCTGTGAGTTTTCCAGACTGTATAGCCATGTTCCAGAAGTGTCCTCTCCTGATGTTTTGCCCAGATCTATGCCAGGCATCCTTGGAGGTTGTGAGGTCTGTTGGAAACATGGCAAGTGGGGTTTATATATCTGTGGAAAGTCCAGGGTGGGAGAAAGAACTCTTGTCTGCTTGAGGCAAGTGGGAATGTTGCCATTGGCTACCTTGATTAGCATTGAATGGCCTTGCAGCTTCAAAGCCTGGCTGCTTCCTGCCTGGGGGAATCCTTTGTTGGGAGGTGTTAGTTGGTCCTGATTTTTTATTGTCTGGATTTCCCCTGCTTTTGAGTGTTGTTTTTTATTTACTGTTCTGATTTTAGAGGTTTTTTTTAATACTGGTAGCCAGATTTTGTTCATTTTCATGGTTTCCTCCTTTCTGTTGAAATTGTCCACATGCTTATGGATTTCAATGGCTTCTCTGTGTAGTCTGACATGGTGGTTGTGAGAGTGGTCCAGCATTTCTGTGTTCTCAAATAAAATTGTGGGAGTTGAAGTCCAAAACACCTGGAGGGCTACAGTTTGCCCATGCCTGATTTAGATCTATCTCAAAAAGGGTATATTCATCAAACCCTTTGGGCATGACCTTGGAAATATCTGGCTGCAGTGCAAAATGTTCTCACGTGTTGGGTTTTGGAAGCTGCACAAGATGGCTTTATGACAACTTCTGTCCCCTCAGCTTACCACTAGCTGCTGCATTTCCCTCCCCTGGCTTATACTCAAGTCAATAAATTTTCCCAGTTTTTGGTCGTAAAATTAAGTGCCTCAGCTTATATTCGGGTCAGCTTATACTCGAGTATATATGGCAACTAGAACTGGATGGCCACCTGTTGGGGAGGCTTGCATTGTGTCTTCCTGCCTGGCAGGAGTGAGTGGGTTGGAATGGATGGCCATTGGAGTCCCAACTCTAGCATTCTGTTGTTGTTGTTATTGTTAAGCAGAGTTGTATGGCCACCTGTTAGGAAGGCTTGCATTGTGTCTTCCTGCCTGGCAGGAATGGGGTTGGACTGAATGGTCATTGAGGTCCCTTCTATTATTATTGTTGTTGTTATTGCTATTATTGTTGCTATTGCTATTATTAAGTAGAACAGGATGGCCATCTGTCGGGAGGGCTTGGACATGTGTTCCTGTCTGGCAGAATTAGGGTTAGACTGGATGGCCATTGGAGTCCCTTCCAATTCTAGATTTCCATTATTGTTGTTGTTGTTGGGGAAAGGACATTGGACCCGGCCCTGGTCTCACTCTAGGTAAGGTAAGGTAAAAATTTATAGAACTTTATTACGCTCCATGGACCCACAACTGTTAAATAAATAATAAACATACAGGAGTTTACAGGTGAGGTAAAGGTTTTCTCCTGACGTTAAGTCCAGTCGTGTCCGGCTCTGGGGGTTGGCGCTCATCTCCATTTCTAAGCCGAAGAGCTGGATACTGCTTTGATAGTCTTGGATTTGAAATCAAATCTGATGTTTTTATTTTTAATTTTTAATTGGTGTGCAATGGAAGAGGGGTGGTCTTATACGGCGAGTATATACCAAACTCTATATTTTAACTGGAAAAGTTGGGGGGTCGTCTTATACGCCCAGTTGTCTTATATGCCGGAATATACGGTATTTAATTTTAAATATTTCTGACAGTGTGACTCCACTTTAACAGCCATTGCTCAATGCTATGGAATCCTGGGATTTGTAGTTTGGCGATACACCAGCTCTCTTTGGCAGGGAAGGCTACAGACATTGTAAAACTACAACTTTCAGGTTCTGTAGCATTGAGCCATGGAAGTTAAAATGGTGTTAATGCATTAATTCATCAGTGTAGATACACCTAAAGACCAATGGGATTTGCAGGTACCAAAACATCATGTGACTAGGGTTAAAAAACAGATACATCTCCTGAATTTTTAAAATATTAGTGCAGAAGAGAGAATTGTGGCTTGTTACCTGGATACATGACCAGTATTAGCTACCACAATTCCTTCTATACATCCTTTAAAGAGACTTTATGTGCTCCACTGCTCTGTCCCCTATGAGCCCCTCCCTTACAAATACACCTTTTTCATTGCTATCTCATCCAGAGTTTTGTCATTTTATGTTGTGCATTTGGCTCGCCCATTGTGTTTGATTTTTCTTTTTGTATTTTGCACTTTTTTATTTTATTCTTATGTTTTACTTATTTTATTGTGATGTTATTTTTGCTCTTGTGTATTTATTTCGTTGTAATGTATTACCGGGCTTGGCCTCATGTAAGCCGCCCTGAATCCCCTCTGGGGAAATGTTGGTGGGGTATAAATAAAGTATTATTATTACTAGCCGTCCCCTGCCACGTGTTGCTGTAGTCCACTCTGGTGGTCATGGGGGTTCTGTGTGGGAGGTTTGGCCCAATTCTATCATTGGTGGGGTTCAGAATGCTCTGTGATTGTAGGTGAACTACAAATCCTAGCAACTACAACTCCCAAATGTCAAAATACTATTTTCCCCAAACTCCACCATTGTTCACATTTGGGCATATTGAGTATTCGTGTAGAGTTTGGTCCAGATCCATCATACATCTAGATCCATCATTGTTTGAGTCCACAGTGCTCTCTGGATGTAGGTGAACTACAACTCCAAAACCAAAGGACACTGCCCACGAAAGCCTTCCAATATTTTCTGTTGGTCACGGGAGAACTGTGTGCCAAGTTTGGTTCAATTCCATTGTTGGTGGGGTTCAGAATGCTCTTTCATTGTAGGTGAGCTATAAATCCCAGCAACTACATCTCCCAAAATAATTTTTTTTGAGTGAAGGACATACATTGGGTTGTTAGGTGTCTTGTGTCCAAATTTGGCGGCAGTTTGTCCAGTGGTTTTTGAGTTCTGTTAATCCCACAAACGAACATTACATTTTTATTTATATAAATTATTATTATTATTATTATTATTATTATTATTATTATTATTATTATTATCATCTGGCAACCCTATTTATATTCCTGGTTTACTACTTGACTACTCCAGTCCTGCTTTTGCTTGCTTTTTCCTTCTGCCATCCACAATGAGAGTCCATTCTTTTCACAGGGGAGAAGCCTGATGATGTCTTGGAAAGCGGAGAGGCCGTGGGCGATGGATTCACCATCGTTACCCACCAAATTGCTTACCCGGAAGAGAAACCCTACAAGTGCGAGGAGTGCGGGAAGAGCTTCAACCAGCGGTCGCACCTCAAGAGGCACCACATTGTTCACACGGGAGAGAAGCCCTTCAAATGCCAGGAGTGTGGGCGAGCCTTCACCGAGAAGAGGAACCTCACGGCGCACCTGATGAACCACACCGGAGAGAAGCCGTACAAGTGCCAGACGTGCGGGAAGAGCTTCAGCCAGCCCTCCCACCTCAAGCGGCACGAAATGATCCACTCGGGGGTGAAGCCCTTCAAATGCGAGGAGTGTGGGAAGGGCTTCTCTGAGAAGAGGGACCTCGTGGACCACCGGATGAACCACACCGGGAACAAACCCTTCAAGTGTGACAAGTGCGGGAAGAGCTTCACCCGGAAGACCATCTTCAGCTCGCACCAAACGACCCACACCGGAGAGAAACCCTATAAATGCAAGGAGTGCGGGAAGGGCTTCAGCTACAGCTCCGGCCTCATTCTGCACCAAGTCAAGCACACCGGGGAGAAGCCCTACAAATGCAAGGAGTGCGGCAAGAGCTTCAACAACCAGTCCAACCTCAAGCGGCACCAAACCATCCACGCCTGGGAGAACCCCTACAAGTGCCAGGAGTGCGGCAAGAGCTTCATGGAGGAGAAGAGCCTCAACGCCCACCAGATCAACCACACGGGGAACAAGCCCTACATCTGCCTGGAGTGCGGGAAGACCTTCAGCCAGAAGTCGACCCTCAACGCGCACATCCTGATCCACACCGGTGCGAAACCCTTCAAGTGCCTGGAGTGCGGGAAGAGCTTTAACCAGAGGTCCAACCTCAACAGACACCAGATGATCCACTCGGGGGAGAAATCCTATACCTGCTTTGTGTGCGGAAAGTGCTACGCGGAGAAGACCCTCCTGATTTTGCACCAGAAGAAACACGCTGGGGTTTAAGTGACAGGAAAGGAGATTCCACCTGAACATTGGGAAGAACTTCCTGACTGTTCAACAGTGGAGTGTGGTGGAAACTCCACCCTTGGAAGCTTTTCAGCAGAGGCTGGATGGACATCTGTCAGGGGAGCTTTGATTGTGCTTTTCCTGCATGGCAGGGGGTTGGACTAGATGGACCATTGCTCTTGTATTTCTGTGATTCTAAAGGTCTCACATGTGGACAGAGCTTCAAAGTTGGGTGACATAAGCATCCATTTGGTCAGGTCCTCCACATTTATGAGTTTAGCTTCTTGGCAGGGGGTTGGACTGGATGGCCCACAAGGTCTCTTCCAACTCTATGATTCTATGGTTTGGATATTTGTGGATTTGATTAATGTGTTCTCTCTGGGTCCCTTAGGACAACTCTATGAAGAGTTTCCATCAGAGGTTGACCATAGAGTCAGCCTGGTGAATTTAGAGATGCGTAGAAAGGTTGAGAAGAGACATGGCAGCCATGACTATGAGAGTTGTTCAGCAGTGGAACTCTCTGCCCTGGAGTGTGGTGGAGACTCCTTCTATGGAGGCTTTTAAACAGAGGCTGGATGGCCATCTGTTGGGGGTGATTTGAATGTGATTGTCCTGCTTCTTGGCAGAATGGGGGTTGGACTGGATGGTCCGTGAGATCTCTTCCAACTATGATTCTAGATTATATTATTCTATTATGGAAAGTATGTCATATATAAGAATATGAGGGGAAGTCATAGGGAGCAGGGAGCAGGCTTGTTTCCTGCTGCCTTAGAGACTAGGACACAACAGAGCAATGGCTTCAAACTACAAGAAAGGAGATTCTACCTGAACATTGGGAAGAACTTCCTGACTGTAAGAAGAGCTGTTCAACAGTGGAGTGTGGTGGAAGCTCCACCCTTGGAAGCTTTTCAGCAGAGGCTGGATGGACATCTGTCAGGGGAGCTTTGGTTGTGCTTTTCCTGCATGGCAGGGGGGTTGGATTAGATAGCCCATGGTTCCTCCATCTCTGTGATTCTAAAGGTCTCACATGTGGAAAGAACTTCAGAGTTGGAAGACATAAGTATCCATTTGGTCAAGTCCATTTGGGCCCATATTTATGAGTTTATCTGATTTGGATATTTGTAGATTTGATTAATGTGTTCTCTTAGGACAACTCTGTGAAGAGTTTCCACCAGAGGTTGACCATAGAGTTAGTCTGGTGGATTTACTTACTTACTTAGACGATCCCCGTTGTCTGAGTAAGATTGTCCTCCAAGTTTGGTGTTCTGGCGGTGGGTCCGTAGGTGATGGTGGAGCCCTATTCTTGACCTGCATGTTCTCCCACAGTGAAGGCATCGGTTTCCAGATGGAAGGTGGTCCGTTTGATGCGCCTTCCTCTTGGCACGTTTCTCTCTTTCGCCCTCCATTTGTGCCTCTTCAAATTCTACAGCACAGCTGGTCACAGCTGACCTCCAGCTGGAGTGCTCAAGGGCCAGGGCTTCCCAGTTCTTGGTGTCTATGCCACAGTTTTAAAGGTTGGCTTTGAGCTCATCTTTAAATCTGGTGGATTTAGAGACACATAGAAAGGTTGAAAGAGGACATGATAGCCATGTTCAAACATTATGAAAGGATGCCATATTGAAGAATGTGAGGGGAAGTCATAGGGAGGGGAAGCAGGCTTGTTTACTGCTGCCCTAGAGACTAGGACACAATGGAGCAATGGCTTTAAACTACAAGAAACTACAAGAAAGGAGATTCCACCTGAAGTTGTTGTAGGTTTTTTCGAGCTATATGGCCATGTTCTAGAGGCATTTTCTCTTGACATTTCGCCTGCATCTATGGCAAGCATCCTCAGAGGTTGTGAGGTCTGTTGGAACTAGGAAAGTGGGTTTATATATCTGTGGAATGACCAGGATGGGGATGGAGCTAGGTGTGAATGTTTCAACTAACCACCTTGATTAGCATTGGAGGGCCTGGCAGTGCCTGGGACAATCTTTTCACCTGAACATTAGGAAGAACTTCCTCACTGTGAGAATTGTTCAGCAGTGGAACTCTCTGCCACAGAATGTGGTGGAGGCTCCTTTTTTTGAGGCTTTTAAGCAGAGGCTGGATGGGCATCTGTCAGGGGTGTTTAGAATGCAATTTTCCTGCTTCATGGCAGAATGGGGTTGGACTGGATGGCCCACGAAAGCTCTTCCAACTCTATGATTCTATAAGAGAGGGCCAGTTTCTTTTCTGCTGCTCCAGAGACCAGAGCAGTGGATTCAAGCTTCAGGGAAAGAGATCCCACCTGAACATTAAGAAGAACTTCCTGATGGCTAGAGCTCTACAATAGTAAGACATGCTACCTGGGAATCTTGTGAAGGTTCCTTCTTTGGAGGTTTTTAGCAGAGGCTGGCCATCTGTAAGGAGTGCTCTGATTGTGTGTTCCTGCATGACAGAATAGAGTCGGACTGGATAGCCCTTGGGGTCCTTTCCAACTGCAGTAGAGTCTTGTTTATCCAACATAAACAAGCCGGCAGGACGTTGGATAAGCAAAAATGTTGGATAATAGGGATTAAACGTCAAATTACGTTATGATTTTACAAATTAAGCACCAAAAGATCATGTTTTACAACAAATCGACAAAAAAAGCATTTCAATACATGGTAACATAATGTAGTAATTCCTGTATTTACAAATTTGGCACCAAAACATCGCAATGTATTGAAACAGCTGTGGATCCGGGCGGGAAGCAGACTGTGTTGGATAATACAGAATGTTGGATGAGTGAAGGTTGGATAAGCGAGATGCTTCTGTATATGATACTACAAGCTTGGGGACCTAGTGAAGCCCAGGTTGTTTGAAAAGGGCATTGTTTGTTTTTGGATGTTAGGTATTCTCAGTTTGATATGGATGAACTACAATTCCCAGAATCGTGGGTCAGTCCTCCCCGAACCCTGCCAGTATTAAAAATCAAAGCAATTTTGGGTCTGTGTGCCAGGTTTGGTCCAGATACGTCATTGTCTGGCTGCAGTGCTCTCTGGATAAGAGTGAACTACAGCTTCCAGATTCCAAGAGCAATCACCCCCAACCCTGCCTGTATTCATAGTTGGCCATGTTGGTTCTGTGTGCCAGATTTGGTCCAGATACGTTGTTGGTTGGATTTAGTTCTCTCTGGACTAGAGTGAACTACAACTCCCTTTCAGAAACATATGTCAGTATTCACAGTTGGCCATGTTGGGTCTGTGTACCAAATCTGGTCCAGATCAGTCATTTGTGGGGTTCAGAGGTCTCACTGAATACAGGTGAACTATAACTCCCAGAGTTAAAGGTCAATCACCCCAAATTCACCAGTAGTCCCAGTCAGCCATGTTGAATTTGTGTGCCAAGTTTGGCCCAGATCCATTATCAGATGGGTTCAGTGTTCTCTGAATACAGGTGAACTATAACTCCTGGATGTCAAGGTCAATCAACCCCAAACCCCGCCAGTATGCAAAGTTGACTGTGTTGGTTCTGTGTGCCAAGCTAGTTCCAGGTTCATTGTTGGCAGTGTTCAGAGCGCGCTTAGATTGCAGGTGAACTATACATCCCAGTCCTTACAACTCCTATAAATCATGGTGAATTCTCCCCAAACCTCTCTCTCTAGTAAGTTCAGTTGCTGTGTGCCATAAAAGAGAACAGGAAAGGGATAAGGGAGAGACAGTAGTTGGGGGTCATGCAAATTCCACACCAATGGAGAGAGAAAGGAACACTGGGATGTGGTTCGCTGCAATGGAGGGAGGGCTTTGGTGGCTCCTTACCACTGCGGGTTAAAGCAGCTTGTGGAGGCTGCAGGCTGTCTGTGTAAATGAACACCTCCGCCACATGCACACATACAGATTTTCACTTTTATTACGTGTATAGATGAAAAAATGTTTATTTTAATTTGTGGTTTTTCTACTTCCATGAAGATCCCGTGCCCCTAATTGCAGGAAATGGGGAGATCCTTCAGTATATGTCCCAAAGGGAAAACACACAAACAACGAGTGTCTTCTCCTGCTTCTGTATGTACTGTTTGCTGTCTAAAATGACAATTAATTTCATGGAGAAAATAATTCTCCACTCAGTATATTTTAAGTAGACCAGTTTGTATTAATGCCAAACATGCAATGCAAGCTTTTTAAAATGAGTTCATATGATATGGCCATGCCCTGTTCAGTCTCTTTCTTATGGAACGTATCCTGCATCTTGTTTTATTCTATCAAACTGAAATATTTGTACGTCCTTTGCACAAGTATGATGGTTGAGAGACGTGCCGTGGTCTTGTAAGACCTCTTTGCAACAAGGCTTGGTGCTTGAAGTTTCAAAAGTTCAAGGGTAGGAATGGCGTAGCCCTCTAGATGTGGGCCGGTAATTCCCAGCATGCTTTGGCTCTGCTTCTTCGGGCTCCTGGGAGTTGTAGTTCCTCAACACTTGAACGGATAATGGAGTTGCCACTTTTGGAGTTCTCTCTAGTAATTTCTATGGATGTGGCCCCTTGGGCTCTTATCTCAGGCCCTCCTCTCAACATCCTATCTTTCCTTCTCTTTTCTCCCTCCTTCCATCTCTCCCTCTTTCTCTTTCCATTTATCCATCCATCTCTATCATCCTTTTATCCTTCCTTCCTTTTCCTCTTTCCTCCCTCCTTCTCTCTCTCCCTATTTCTCCTTCCCTCCATTCCCTTCCACTCTTTCGTCCTTCCTTCCTTCTCTGTATCTTCCTCCTTCCCTTCCATCCTTTTGTCCTTCCTTCCGTCCATCTTACCTACCTTCCTTCCTTCCTTCCTTCCTTCCTTCCTTCCTTCCATCCATCTTTCCTTCCTTCCTTCCTTCCTTCCTTCCTTCCTTCCTTCCTTCCTTCCTCACTCCTTTCCTCTTCTCCTTCCTCCTCCTTCCTCTTCCTCCTTCCTCCCTTCTCTTCCTTCCCTTCCCTTTCCTCCTTCCTTCCCTTTTTCCCTCCTTCCTTCCTTCCTTCCTCTCCTTCCTTCCTTCCTCCTTCCTCCCTCCCTCCTCCTCCCTCCTCCCTCCTCCCTCCTCCTCCTCCTCCCCCCCCCCTTTGTCTTCCCTTCCTTCCCTCTATCCTCCCTTTCTCCCTCCCTCCATTCCCTTCCGCCCTTACATCCTTCCTTCGTTCTTTTTCCTTCCTCCTTCCCTTCCTCCCTCCCATCCTTCCCTTCCACCCTTTACTCTGTCTTTCCTTCTTTCCCTCTTTTCCTCTTTCTCCTTCTCCTCCTTTCTTTTCCTTCCTTCCCCTTCTCCTTCTTCCCTCTTTCTCCCTCCATCCCTCTCCCTCTTTCTCCTTCCATCCTTCTCTTCCTCCCTTTCGTCCTCCCTCCCTTCTCTCTTTCCGTCCTCCTTCCCTTCTTTCCATCCTTCTCTTCCACCCTTTACTACTTCCTTCCCTTTTGTCTTCCCTCTGTCCTCCCTTTCTCCCTCCCTCCATTCCCTTTCATCCTTCCTTCC